CAGATGATAGTTGTAATAGTAGTCAGCCATCATTGATCCGTAGCCACCTAATCCATCCAACCCATCCATCCTTCATCCGTCTCATATATTCATCATGGCAGCATCCGTTGAACGACCACAAACGATTCAGACTATGATTGATGGTGTGGAACGTTACAATCCCGAAAACGCTGAAGTCCTTGAAGACTACCTCGCCACGCAATGCAAGAATGGCGAATACGACCTCATGGCCAACTTGGCATTGTTAAAGCTGTGAGCATCATGCAACAACACATCAGCACCAGGATGCATCGCTGACACCTTTCATCCGCACGATATAGTTATCAATTCAACCCCCAATTGACCAAGAAGACCGTTATTATCAATGTCCTCGGCAAGGCTCTTACCGCCATTCCCAATCCCGATTTCAATTTATGCATGTACCTCATGACAGACCATGTGGTAACAAAACGACGACGAGTTTATTGTATAAAGTGACGACTGACATAGGGCTATCTTGATGGCATAGGAAGACGAGCAAGTCAAGAGCATGATGCAACTTCAGCAGCTCCTTGAACAGTCGCGATACGTTGAATTTTGGAAGACATTTGAACAACACCGTGCTCTTGTTAAGGATATCCAAGGATTCGATGATGCCATTCGTGCCGTCGTCGCCAAGGTTGTCAGCATGTCTTATCAAAATATCAGCAGCAGCGTGCTTCAATCGTATCTTTCGTTGCAAGGTGATGCATTCGAAAAGTTCTGCCAGCAGCATCAATGGCAGGTGGAACAAAACGTTGTCAACATTCCTATCAACAAGGATAACGAAGCCAAGACAGTGGTTGTTCGCGAGAACATCAAGTTTGAACAATTGACCAAGATTATTGGTTTCTCGAATGAAATGTAAAGTTGTTTTTTATACAGTCTCTCTTTTTATTGTCTACACCCCACACATGGCAGCCCTACTCTCTATTCCTTCAAATACATCATTTTCGTCTTGATCGAGCGTGGTCAATACACTCGCTTCCCCACCATGGGTCTTGTAAATCCACTCGAAGCAAATTGTCAATGTCTTGAGTCCCAACAAATATCCATCGTCAGGTTGATTTGGATGCTGAGGAGGATAGGAGAATTCATGTCGTGGATCTTGTGAAGTCACCGAATGTGCGAAATCAATAATGCGTACATCCATCACCTTGTCACTTGTTTCATCACCATCATAGATCATTAATAATGAGGAACCATAGAATCGATAATCATTCAGTGATCGTATGATGCCAGCCAAACGTCTCAATTTATGCAGAACCGCGGGTATATGATGAATCTGCACACAGCCATTGTTGTTGAGGAATTGCACCAAAGTGTCTCTGAATTCGATAGGAGATAAGCGTCGACCTTGATATTTATCTTGAAAGATGAAATCACCCTGCTTGTAAACCTAGATAAAGAATATAGGTTAATGTCGTGTAACCTTATCATCCTCCATTGTAAAAAACATACTCGCCTGCATCCCACAGACACGAACACCCAACGCTGCACTTGTTGATTGTTGACATTTCCTGGTTTGGCTGGCTGCTTTGGCTGGTGTCGCATATACGCTATGTTGTCGTGTCCCCATCTTGAGATCCAATACGCATGGAAAATGAATACCATCGGTTAAATCCTCAATCATGATATACTCCTTGTGATCGTCATGCTTCATTTTTTGCTGATCACGTTGATAGACTTGCATCGACCATGGGTTGTTGGGTTTCTCACGTGTTTTCCAATCATCCCCAGTAGTTGTCAATGTCATATCTTCATCCATCACAAATATATCTTGATCATTGTCATTGTCGTCATCTTGTTGATCACGTCGAGATGCTATTGCCGAGGTTGATTTTGATGAAGAACTTGGTGGCGGTGGCGGTGGAGAAGGAGGAGAAAGCGATGTAGGAGAAGAAGATACAGCTGTCAATGGATCGTCTTGATCTGCAGGTAGCAATAAACTATGTTGACGTCGTTCAGGGAATGATGAAGGTCGTCGGAATTCACTATTCACTTGTCGTAAACGTTCCTGGATCGCTTGTGGTGTGAAGATGTCACGTAGGATCTGTTCACGTGCCGCACTAACCGAATGTCGTCGACTGCTACGTCTATGGTGACAAGCTCGCCAATCGCTCAAGAGATGCTTGTTCTTTTCAAACACAATATGGGGAACCGAGTCTGCTGAATAGGTGACATTGACAATGCCAAAGTATTGAGGTATGAAGGGGAGTAGCTCGGGCAATTGTCGTTCTAAATGCTCGTAAAAGCTCTGTTCTTTTTTGGAAACAGCTTTGCAAATGGCCTGCTTGGAGAATCGGAAGAAGGAGCCATGACCACCGACTTGGTTATCGAACGGAAGTAAAGGGAGTGACGCTGTGATCTGTGTCGGATCAAAGTAGTGTTGCTCATCGTCATCACCGCGCATGAGGGAAAAATAGCAAGAGTGAAGGAAAGAAGAAGGGTGTAAAATGGAAATCTGCCAAAAGCAGTAAGCGTTTTTATATCATTACATTTTCAGACCATCGATAGAGTTATATAGATTTCACGCGTCTAACATCTTGGTATCATTATGAATAAAGGAGATATTTAGTAGTAGTAACGAGACGCTTGAGAGGCAAGATGATGTGGATCAACCACAGGAGGAGGAGAATGGTGGTGATATGATGTTGGTGTTGGTGTCGTTGGGCTGGCATGTATTTGTTGCGGTTGCAAGTAGGGTTGCCGTTCAGCCGTTCTATAGCCATGCTGCTGTTCTTCGTTAAAGTCGTCATTGAGATCCAGATCATCATCATCGCTCTCTTCAATCACACCCGTAGCACCTATTATGAGAAAAGACAATGAGTACAAGCATTCATATGCAACGTCATATTACTCGTGACATTTACGTTCAAGGCCGACAATGGATTGGGGAGCACCACACATGTAGCTGACGCTGTTACGGTTGCTACGTCCCTCTTCTCGGATCGATTGTAAGCGGCTGCCTGTTGTTCCGCCTGGTGCTGTTGTTGCTTTTTGTGTGGGTAATAGCGGAGGTTGATATTGAGATGGCTGTGGTTGATGTTGTGGAGTAAAGCCGTTAACATTGACAGGGCTGACGGGAGGATTATTGTTGCTGTTTCCATCACTTGTCCAGAAAATGTAGTCGAATTCGGCCAACAACAAATGCAAGATGCCTGTAGGGATGCCAAGAGTAGCAGAAAATACAATGCCAACGTTGCGCATTGTCATTTTGTTTTGACCAGCGTTTTGTACCACCCGGATCAAATGTACCGATAGTGTGCGGAGCAAGGTATAATTAGCCAATGGGAGCAATGACACCAATCGTCCAAGCTCGTGTATCCTTTCACGTCGATCAATCAAATCCATCACATTCAAGAATTCCTTGAGCAGCTCATTGGTAAGAACATTGCCGGGCAATTCTCGGAACCACATCTTGAGTAAACCAGATACAGCATGAATGTCGTAATACTCTTCCGCACTAAGTAAATCCACATCGCCCTCTGTAGAATGAAATGTGATGATGAGCTATTTGCTATTATCATTTCTCTCCACCCTCACCCCTGTTTTCCTTTTTTTACCTTCATTGAATTTGGCCTTGAGTGCACGAATTTTGGAAGCACTTCCACTCAAACGATAAATGCCTTCTTCTTGAATAGCGTTCTTGGCTTCAAGGTAATCAATGCAGCGATACACAATAGCCGGGATCTCGTATTCATCCTTCACCTTGGCCACACGAATAGCATCTTCCAAGGGTATACCAAAGACTTGTTTGGCACCAAGAGGCTCAGCCTCTTTACGACCATCTTTTCCAGCTGCTGCTGCTGCTGCTACTGCTGAGCGATTGTTGTTATTGTTGTTGTTGTTGGATGATCCCGCAAACATCTTTTTGGACCAAAAGCCTTTACGTTGTCCATTGTTCTTATCCTTTTTGCCATTATCGCTGTCATCTTGTCGATTCATATTGGTGAGATTCATCAGCTGTGCATAATGAGCTTCATCCAAGCCTGATCGTTGATGTTCAACAGTGCCCAGCACCGGTTTGATATCGTTCTTGGATGAGGATGAGGATGACGAGGATCCCTTTTCATTGCCCTTTTTGCGCTTGTTGACGGCTTCTTGATCCACATGTTGTGACATGGCTTCCACCCAAGCATCTCGGTCCTCATCGGATGAAGCACAAAGCACGTGACGAGCTAAACCACCAGGAGCAGATTTCTTGGGTTCCACAATGATAAAGCCGTGTTTGAATGAGGGTTGGTCCTTGGAACTGCCCGTTTGCTCGGTTGCTTTTTGCTTGCCGATTTGTGCCTCGGTCAAACGAATGGATCCCAAATATTGACCATCCTCCTATATATACGAAAAAAGTATGATCAGCCATCATCACATTGAATAAGCAGTAGTATGGTACTTACACTCTCATAGTATTTAAGATCAGGACCATCAAGGATAAAGAAACGTGATTTCCAACCACCGAAATTCTTGCCACGCTTGTTGAGATAACCTTGTCTGTATTTTGAAACCTAGTAACACGAATTCATTATTCGCAACGTTACACAACACATGAACGCAGAAAAAGTATATCCTACCTTGCTGTAAAGTGCCTTGTCAATCACGTTGGAGCTCAAGAACTCACAAATAACCGTTGCAGTAACCTCGGTCAGTTGCAGGCTGCTGATAGCATGTTGAAGGTATTGTTCCATGGCGAGCTTAAAAATAGACATGTCAGTAACAAGAGCAAATAAAGAAATCATATCATATCCCGACCTTGCGTTGGTCAACTTTGTTGGGAGCATGGGTGGCAAACAAGGCACGATCAGGAAGCTTGCCAATGTGCTGTTCAACCGAGCGATCGTGTGATTTGAGCTAGTTATCAAAGAGAAAGAAAAAGACATTAGTAAACTAGTTGGGATGAGTGCATGTTGCCATGGGGGGGGGGGTTGTACCTGAGCATCGAGAGCCAAGAAATCAGAGTAATGCTTCTGGATGCGCCATTGTTCTTGAGGAGTAGCGTTGGGGTCGTCACTCGTCTTTCCACGAACTGAGATAGTGAAAGCAATAACTTCTTGGCCCTTGTCGTTGGTGAAGATATTAGAGCCAAGGATTTTGACTGAAATTCCTGCCATGGGACCTGGAGTGAAAGGACCGTGATATTGTCCCTCGTGGGTACGAGGAGTACTGGGTAATGCTGGTGACTGGGGCTCATCTGTTGTGTAAGCATAATAAGCTTCTTGCTGCTGTTGATGATGATAAAGCCGTGCTTGCTCATCCACATGAATATCAGGCGAGGTCACTGCATGATGTTGTTGTTGTTGTTGCTCATCTTGTTGATAACGATGCCAACGAGCTTGGTCTTCTGCATGGGTATCTTGATGTCGTTGCCGTCTTGGTTGACTATCATTGTATCCATCCTGTTGCCGTTGACGACGCATTTGTTCCTCCATTGCTTGCCTATGTAACCTTGTTTGCTCTTCCACATACGCTTCTTGTTCACGTTGACGACGTGCTTGTTCATCAGCCTGTCGCTGCAGTCTAGCTTGTTCTTCAGCATAAGCTTCTTGATCACGTTGACGTTGAGCTTGTTCCTCGCGTTGACGCTGAGCTTGTTCTTCACGTTGACGCTGAGCTTGTTCTTCGGCATATCTACGCTGTTGTTGTTGTTCATCTTTGTGTTGCTGAACAAGATATCCATTACGGTCGTCATCGATACGATCATGGGTTGTCAAGCTACGACTGGTTTGTAACTGAGGGGGTGATGGAGGTTCCTGATGATGGCTATTTTGGGGGCTACTACCACCACTACTACCTTGCTCCAATGCTGGTTTTCGATCATAGCTATATGTCGAAGGCAGTGTAGGCTCCCACACAGTGGCACATCCAGTGTCTTGTTGAGGTTGTTGATTCGATGGCGAACTCGTGTTTTGTCGATAGGGTGAACGTGGTGGTGGTACAGGACCATCGCTTGTACGAGTACTATTTCCATGGCCGTTGACAAGTCGCTCTTGTTCGAGGTCCTGATTGCGTTCCAACAAATTGTCGCGTTCATCTGTCATTATGGCTAACGACTTTTGGAGGTTCTGAATGACTATGCGCTGCTTCTCAACGATTCGCAAAAGCTCTTCATTCTGTGCGGTGATATCGGCAGGCAAGTTTGCCGGCACAGTCTTGGTCGACATGATGAATTAAAGGAAAGGAGAGAGAGGGAGAGAGAAAAAGAGAGGACAGGCGAGAGGATAGGGTAAAGGAAGGAAGCAAGGAAAAGAGAGAGAGAGTATACGATTAAACTTTTTCGTCTCGGTGCTGGTTATGGTAAGCATCCTTCATCGCGATATGAAACGGCTCCTGAACTTGTTTACCTTCTTACATTAGTTGCATTGCATACTTGATTGCTTTCTTTGTTTTATTCTCTTAGGCGTGATTGTCCCATCAAAGGGGTGAAACTATTGGTCCTTATTCATGATTAGAAGTGCTCTTTATATACATCATGTCCTAAAATTTCTTGTATCTTCGTATCACGCGCTCACATCGTCTTGTCTTATTGCTTTGTTGGGGTCCCAATAGTTATATTAAAAGCGAAGAAAGTCCGTCAGATTCCACTGTGTAAGCACGCTTGTGCAACTCATTGCTGTGTAGCGGTATGACCAAGATCGCCCTGCTGTCTGTGTGATGAGTGTCCATTTATTTGACATGTATTTAATACAACCGATCGGTCGAGCCAGCCTTGCTACTAACTAAGGGAAAATGCTATCCCTTGATGAGCGATCACCAATGTTGCATACACGTACATCGTTTTCAGGTTTGCATACTAAAACGTTGCTCGACATGTTTGGACGCATACTTGTTAGCCAATACCTATTACTCTTACAATCACAAACGTATAGTTGTTATCCACGCCAGTTAATCAGTGTATGTACGCAGTCGTCATCCTCCTCCTTTGGAGATCAATAACGCGGAGATCCAAGGGAAGAAAAAGTTAGTAGGACTATTGATGTAATAGCGTGAATTAGAATGAGACGCATCATTGTCTTATAGCCTCATAGTCCATTATACATGTTGATTGTATTGAAAGGTCGTTTATTTTGATGATATTGGATGTGCATAATGACGAATGAATCATTGATTAGTGTTATTTGTGCGACTGTGGAGAGGAAATGTATTACAAAAATGGATTTTGCACATGTCGTTTACTCGTGGGATCGGTGATCGGCAGGGGTGCAGGCTAGTGCTATCTTTGTACATGCCATGTGAACATCCTTGCTTCACGGCCTTGACAGCGCAAGTCCATAGTGTGAGAAGAACGATATCCCACGTGATGATCAGCCTAGTAAAGCTCTGCAGCACCGAAATGTGGTCTAACGAACCAAGTCACCGGACACAAAAAGAAAAGCACAGCTGTGAGATGCAGTTCAACTGCCCAACCATTACATGTATTGTTATCACCACTCATTCCAACTCCAATAAGATCATCACGCTATTAATCAATGTATATAATGTAGCTATATTATTCCTTCTTGGCGTTCAACGCCTTGGCTCTCTCTTCCTTGTCAATGGTTGCCAATACCCTGCTGGCGTTCACGATTTGGATAACGTTGATGAATTGCTTGAGGAAGCAAATGACACCGCTCACGGCAAAGACGATCCACCATGCAGCTATCAATCCCATCCCATCCATCAGTCTCTTGAGGTACCTTTCCAACCACATACACACACGCCCAACTTACCATTAATAGGGCCTTGGAAAAACTTGAAGACGTATAGAGCAACAAAGAAAAGCTCGTTACCGGCACACATAATGAAAAGCACGACCTATTGCTCTCATAGTTAGCTCTTCCCCAATCGAATAATCCCATAAATGCTCCATCCCCACACGTACATTGCTGTTGTAATAAAGTTGAAGAAATCGATTGCTTGACTGAGAGATCTTCTTGTGGCTGGATGAACCTTCTGTCATTGAACTAATGATAGACCTCATTCAGCTTTCATCCACGAATATAGTAACCTTGCATCTGTATTTACCTGTACATGTGCATATAATGAGAGCTGAAGTCCAACGATATCAAGAATTGGAAGAGGATAGTCCATGCAGGGTATTTCAGGGAAAGAAAGCAGAGTAAACAAGTGGTGGTGGATCTTTGATACCAAATACCGAGTTAGACTCACACTATGCCATTTCACCATATCATCCATGTCCCTTACCTATCAGTCACCATATCGAGTACAGCCCCAAACTTGCTACCTGTAATTCATCCAGTCATGTATTAGTAATGCTCCCATTTATAGCCTTTTTTCGAGTATCATACATTGGTCAAAGTAACGTGCAGCGTTGCCGTCTACCGCATCCAACAAGCACGAGATACAATACAAGATAGTGCACACCTTTGGATGCCATGGCATGTAGTATAATGCAGCTGAAGCTAGTATAATACGCGTGTAGCCTATATCCAAAAGCTGTTAGATGCACCATTGACTTGACGGGGTGACAGGAGAGATAGTACCAATGATGTTTGGAATGTAGAGAAAGACATTGTCAGTTTGGAGTAGCCGCCTGTTGCCGTTGCTCATCGTGTTGCTTTTTGAGGCAAAAAAAGGTGAGTAAAAAGAAAGAGAAGGCTGTATATAAAAGAGTTCAGCCCGAGGAGTGGAAGCACAAGGGAGCGTTTTTCACCTTCCGCGTCCTCATTCAGTAGGTGGTATTGTGATGGTGCCAGAATAATCACTGCCTCAATTGAACCATATACAAGGTATATAATTAGTTTACCTCATTGGCAACGCTTCTTTGTTCCTATTATCATATTCCCATACATAAAGGTCATCCTCTTTCATGATCAAACAATGGTAGACATGCTACTCATTATTCATCATTATTAAGCATTCAATGGCATGCTCTTTGAGTGGTATGTTTTCATTGTGGTTAGCAAATTGAATCATGCAAGGATGGAAGTAAATGTCACACACACGCACGCACATACAAAAGATACGCCAAAAAAGGGGAGGACTGTCATTCTTCCTTTTCTCGGATATATCCAGCAAATCATGCCACGACCTCTTTACCATGGCAATGACGACGGGGATTCATTCACCCTTTTCCCTTTCCGCCCTGCTCTTGGTAGAAATGGAAGCAATGTCCTTTTTCCTTTTTTCTCCCGTGGGGATCAGTGGACCAATTAAAACCCATGCCCATTTGACCTGTCAACATAGAGCGCTATGAATTATACAGCAAGATGAAAGTCAATGAAAATAGTGCGTGGCCCCATGACTAGCGTGGTGACATTGTTATGCAGCTCAAAGTGTAGATGATATAAGGGAAGGGAATAAGGGATTGGGTGTTTGTCGCTGTTTGCATTTATGAACAAGGCATGTGAAACAGATGCAATGAGATCGCTTAATCCTCCCAGAATTTTCGACCACCCCCACTCAACAAAACGGCCAAAAGTCGCAGCATTGTGTTATCCTTTTCACTCTCTCTTTTTAATTTATAAACGGGTAAGTCAAACCCTTGTTTCGTCTCACTGTGTGTTGTAGTATTCATTGTCTAACAACTGACACTAGCGTGGTCTTATGATTATGGATCAGCAACAACAGCAACAACAGGCACCACCATACTACGATCAACGCATGTATTATCAGCAAGATATGGCTGCATCGCCATACAACTATCACAATCCTATGTATGCCCAACAACAGCAACAGCCACAACAACAAGATCCCTATTATCGTTTGCAGCATCCTCCACAAGGTTTTCAAAATGCACCCGGTTTTCAAGAATACAAACAACCACCACCATTGTATCAACAGCAAAGTAATCAAATGCCTGCACGCATGCCACAGCCTGAATTGCAGCGATATGATACAACATCCATGATGGGTGGTTTTGATTTTAGCCCAGTGTTTCCATCAACAGCACCACCACCATCTAGTACAGCTGCTGCTGGGGGAGCTCCAAATGTGAGTGGTAATAATAGCCACTATTCACCGGCAAGAGCAACATCGTACAACCGTGATACCCTTAGCACATCGCCATTACTTGACCCAGCTAGCCCAAATCGAGTACAGCTACGCATTGAAGGGGATTTGGATGCAATGTGTGATGGGTGGACCCCCGATGAATGGGCACAGCGTCGTCGACTTGTTCAATTTTGGCGTGATGAAGAAGGTCAAATCATCCGTTGCGGTTTCCAGCCTGTTGCTCAAGAAGCTCATCGTGGTCAAGTCAATTCGATCGAAGGATTTACTATTGTTTCATGCATCTATTGGCCCGAGCGCAACGACTATTTCATCACATCCGTTGATCTCATTCACTTGCTCGAAGTTGTTATGCATATGCAATTCACCGTCGAAGAAAAGAACCGCGTAAGACGTAATCTGGAAGGTTTTCGCCCATTGACTGTATCAAAATCACGTCCAGAAAGTACAGACTTTTTCAAGTTGATCATGAATTTCCCTCATCCAAAGCCACGAAACATTGAAAAGGACCTCAAAGTCTTTCCATGGCGAACATTGGGTATGGCCCTCAACAAGATCGTTGCAAAGTATCGCATGGTCCAAAAGTAGTAGTAGTAGATAGATAAAGTAATCCATCATCCTTCTTGTGTATACTTATGATCATTGCTTTCTCGTTCGTTGTATGTGCATTTTTCTTGTATAGTGTAATAAACCATTTTCCTTTTGCATTGTACTTGGCTTGGATTCATGCATATACCCTACATAACATCACGTCATTCGAGCTCACCCGCTGTGATTGGTTTCCGCTCATTGACAGCAATGCCATACTCCGAATTTGGCAAGTTTATGTCAATGTTCACACACTTGAAGAAAAAAAGATCACAATAGCGAAAATCGCGCAAGCATAGTTGCGTTAGCAGATTATGACAGCCACTACCACGTGATAGTAACCATGACAACAGGAGACCAATTGACTTGAAACGTGCTCTTTTTCATGCTACGTATCTCTTTCAATGATTTGGAATGGCAACAATTGTTATATAGGATTCTCATGCAACAGTGATCATATTATTCTATTCTTTTGTCACAAAAGTGGATGGAGAAGATGACAACAAGATACAATTGAGTGAAAGCGCAACTTTGCATTACATATGGAAGGGGCAGGTGTGTGTGTGTCGCTGTCTGAAACCCCGTTAAGGGTCATGCACGATCTTCTTTTGAGGGACACTCTGTTCTTCCTTTGTTTTATACTCTCAACGCCACACAACCAATGAGATCTCAATCCAACTCTTAATCGTGAATGCTCCAACTCAATCAAGGCCATCCTGAAGGATAAAGGTAGGAACTACATACAATGGTGAATGTGGTAGCAATCCAAGTTGACGCAATGAGCTTTATCAGCAGCATCTTCAGCGTCTCGTTTATACGCTGAGGAAGACGACATACAAGCTTGTCTTCAGCATTGGGAACAGCACAGGATGCCGATATTGATCCTTGTTCAACTACCAACAACTCGTGGACATGTTTGAGGATGGTGGTCAACAGCAAGAAACAACCCTGTTTATGACGATGGTTATGACAATGGATATGCAAAGGACATGTTGGAATGGATAACGCGAATCAAGGCATAGTGATCCTCAGCACACTTTTTTCTCGTATGATAAAGGCTTTTCACTTGATACGTACCAACCCGATTTTCGTGATCCACCAACTTCCTGTACAACTACTCTACGCCGTACAAGACGTCTGCCATTATACAATCATCGACCGCAGCATACGCCAGCTAGATCCCCACTTGGATTATGATAGCATTAGGGACTTTTCACCATTGTCTTCCTTCAACCAAGTATACAATAAACAGCAATCGACTATAGTGTGATATCAATCATAACGAGGAAAGTGGGATGAATGTATTTCAAGCAGCTGTTGGATACACAATCGATGCCGTGGAATCCACATTATTGGAAAGCGGTACCTAGATTGCCAGTATCTGTCAATCTAATCTGACAGTGTCACCATGTGGTATGCAGGTTACAAAGTCAATTTCATTTATGGCAGACATACGCGTTCATTGAATCGGTGACAAGTATATACGAGATGGATTTTCAACCACTAGAGATGTCGTGATCCACAACTCTACAATAGCTGATGGTTCTTCTTACATAGTAGTAGCGTGTTGATATGTGAATAAAGATAACTTGATGCCATCCACAACATCGAGTTGTTGCATCTTTCAATACAATTACGTGAAAGCATGGAGCTGGAAAGGGGAAACTGGTAACCACGAGGATGATTACTGCTCCGCATAGTAACATGGGTACCATTACACCTCAGTTCTTTGTTGGCGTGACTCTTCCTATGTACATGAATTCAATACAAGCCGCACGCACTACCCATTTGAGTTGTCAACATTTGCATCGACACCCGAATTTATAAGCGTTAGCGGGAAAAAAAAGAGAGATGTGGTCCAGGCACCGCTCTATTTCATTTGCTGACGACACAGCCCAGACCACCAGAATGGCCATGTGACACAACAGCCGTGTTCATTTCATTTTGAGGTAGCAGTAGAAGTCGAAGAAGTTGTCATTTTTGCTATAAGTGGCATATTTCATGTTTCTCTTTAATATCGATTTTAGCCCCTTTTTTATTCCTAGCATGTACAAAATATCGGGGACTCGTTTTGCCACAATGGGCGGTCATGGCTAGACAATGCAAATGGCACTAAAGATGCTATAGGGTTGCACAAATGGTAATTACACCGGTTGATTTGTGCTACGCTTGTACCAAAACACGATACACAAAAAGTGTTTTCATCTTGTGCGTTGCGTGGCAGATAGCTTCTTTTTCCTTTCTCACTCACTCTCTCTTTTTCGCTTTCTGCAATCGTAATGCGCATAAGGCCCTTTCCATTCCTTTGATATGCACATCCTTCTTTACCTTTTTCCCCTGACAGTTTTCATCACTGCCTTTTGCATCGAATCTATCACAGCAACCACCACCACCACCAACAGCAACAATGACAATGACACCACCACCACCGGGCGATACATAGTGGTGCTCAAACCCGACATAGATACCATTTCCATCACCAATCATATTCAGCATATTCAATCATTTCGTACCAATAGCAGCATCATCCAAAAGACCTCCATAAAATACGGCCATGCTTTCAACAACACCTCCAGCAATTCAACAAAAGACGACAAAGAAAATAGCAGTCCATATTCATCCATTGGCAGCCTACGATGGTACGCCGGCGAATTTTACTCAGCAGCCTTTGAATCATCCCTGCCAACGGATGCTAGTGTCCATTATTGGGTTAAAGATGTACCTCTTTCGTTACAAGAATTGGTTCAAAAAGATCCACCCAGTTGGGGACTTGATCGCATTGATCAACGAACAGGGCAAAATGGACAATACCGTTTTCCTACCAGCCAAGGCGCTGGTGTTGATGTGTACATTCTTGATACCGGTGTCAAAGGCGATCATGAAGAACTTGAAGGTCGTGTGCGATATGGACCATCATTTGTTTACGACGGCGAAACAAATGATGCCGATGCTGATGAGCATGGACACGGCACTTTTGTAGCAGGCGTGTGTTGTGGCACCTCGTATGGCGTTGCCAAGCAAGCCAATGTTGTATCCGTAAAGACGCTCGATAATGATGGCAACGGCATGTTGTCTGATTTACTCAAAGGCCTTTCATGGGTAGTCGACCAACATCGTAATGACTCAAAGACCGTTGTAAAGTAAGCAGCAATATCGATTCCTCCCCATGTATATCATTTATTGACATGTGTGTGTATATACAGCCTATCGCTCGGAGCTGATTACAATCAAGTTGCCAATGATGCTATTGCTCAAGCTGTAAGTTTGGGTATTCATGTCGTTGTAGCAGGTAATTTGCATCTTTTTGAAAACCCCCATTCGTTGTATCATACATCTGACCGAGGTTGTTATTTCATGTAGCGGGCAATTATGGTGAAGACGCATGCAAGTATTCACCGGGATCAGCACCAGAAGCGATCACTGTAGGTGCCATCGATCAAGATGATTCGATCGCCTACTATTCCAACTTTGGCAAATGCGTCGATATGTAAGCTTAATTTCTCCTATGTAACAAACAATGATGTGCATCATCTAAATCAATCTGCATGAAGATTTGCTCCAGGCACCAATATTCAATCGACATGGAATACAGGTGTTGATGCCTCCAAAGAGTTGACTGGGACATCCATGGCTGCTCCACGTAAGTTTTCATTAGACGTTGACGACAACATGTATATACATATTAACACCCTTGACATTAGATGTATCCGGTGCTATGGCATTAGTGCTTGCCAAAAAGGCATACACACCCGCTGAGCTTCAACAATATTTAAAGAACGTGTCAAGCGTGGTTACAGAAAACTTTGATATCGATGATATGGGCAACAACAACAAAACCATACTAGACAACGCAATTGATAGCGGCTGGAAGGTCAATGGTTACGACCCGAATGGTACCAATGCCAATATTTTGTTCACCCACCCTACCGACGGAGAACAATTGTGGGTTTTCGGCACATCTAAAACCAGTGATGCAAAGAGAACCCTGCCATGCTCATTGGTAGTGATGCTATCGGTGGTAATTGGATGGTCATGTTTGTTGTAGATCCCGATTTTTCTCTCTCATCCCCTAGCCTAATAAAACATTGTATGCATGGGTTTCACACAAGGATGTGCATTGTATAAAGCACGTGCGATGGGTGATTTAGATTTGACACTTCTTATCCCTTCTCTAATTAAACAACATGATGGTGCCAAAGACTATGCTCGCTGCAATCGCCTTGGCAGCTGTGGTCCAAGCTCAATCTCTCTCTGTGGTTCAACGTATGTATACTTTTATTAGTCCATTTGAAGGGTATTTAATAACATGATTATGTATACAGCCTCCATGACAAGCGCCCAAGTGGCACCTTCTGGTACTAATGGTGGTGCTGGTGGTCAACAAACCAATGGTGGCCAAACTGGAATGGGTGGTGGTGCTTCACCAACGCAAACTGGTGGTGCTGGTATGCAATCCGAGACCACTGGTGGTATGATGGGCTCGACTTCAGAAGCCTCGGGTATGTCAATGTCCCAATCAGCTACTGAGCAAGCTTCATCGCCTGCTGGTGCTGGTCAATCATCTCCAGCAGCTGGTGCTAGTGCCACTACAAGTCAAGGAGGCATGCACTCTGCAGCTTCCTCTCTCGCAGCAGAAGCTACTGGTCAAAATTCGGCTGCTGGCTCACTTTCTTCAGAATTGCCTCAATCTGTTATGATCCAAGCTGCTGCTTTTGTCACTCTTTTTGCAGCTAGCTTTGCCGTCCTCTTGGCTTAAATGTAATTAGATCTCTTTATTTCAATAATGTAAATAATCAATTGCTTGTTGCATAAATCACTACTATATGATCCATTTACTGTTCTCGTTGACATGGCAACATCGGGGATATAAGAAAAAGAGATGAAGGGAGGATGAGGATGATGATGATGATGATGTGTGATGCGTATTATTTGTTGCTATCAGTATTGGCACGTCTCTCCATGATGGCGTTACGTTCAGCAATAAGAGCAGCGCGTTTTTTCTCGAGTTGTGCTATCCGTTCTTCCTCGCTTTGTTGTTGTAGTTGCTCCTTGATCCGTTTCGAATCGCGATCTTCACGAAGTTGGATACCGAAAAAGTAACCCAATGGCACAATGGTAACTGCCATTGCTGGCACAAAGTTCCGTTTGATAAAGGCGAGCATAGGTGAGAGAGTGTATTGTATGAAGAGAACAAGGTTGGTTCGAAGGTGGGATAGCGGGATGTGAATGCATGGGTCGGTGGCTGCTGTTTGTTTACCACAGCCCAGCGCTTGGACCTGGCTACAGTCTTCCCTTTCTCTCACTCTCTCTTTTTTTAAACACGCATCATGTCGTCCAAGATCGTTGGAGCTCTTCAGGGCACTCTTTCCAAGTTGAACGGTAGGTGCTTCGAGTCGCTGACAATAACAACATTGCATTCGTAATGAACACAGGCTCATTGTCAATACGTTCGATAGCTATCCAAAAGCCCGTTGTCTACAACGCCAAGGTTGCCGCTGAGGTTGCTAAGCAAGTCTATGTCAAGGAAGGCATGCATTTCCCCTCTGGTGCCCAGTTTGCCGAAGCTCAACAAATTGTTCAAAAGAACCTTAAGCCCTCGATCTTCAAGAACCTTACTGCTGGTGATGTCGTCAAGGGTGGCGTTGTTGCTGCCGAACTTTACACCTTCTTCCTTCTCGGTGAAATCGTTGGTCGCAGAAACTTGATCGGCTATGACGTTGAATCTGTGGATGCTCATGCCCACTAAACGGATTATTCGCCAACTCGAGTCTTATCTTCCTAGCAACAACACCCGATACAAATCATCTCTCTATCTCTCGCCCCTGGTCGCACCATCTATATAGATTCGATCCAGTTTACAACATCATCCTTCCTTCGATACACTGACATGAGAACAAGAACATGTTTATATTTTGCTGTTTTTGTAAATCGCTTGTATGGGAATTGGAAAGTGGGGATTAAAGGGGGGGAAAGGGGGATTATAGAGATCATCATGGTCCCTTGCAGAATTTTTCATTGTACATGTGATTCTACTGCACTCGGCAATCTATATGCATTTCGTCGTCATCATCATCCATCATCAACACATCATCGAGATTGCCGCCGCGTCGAAATTGTCGAGTAATAGATGAAAGCATACGTCGGGTAAAATAATGATCACCAGTGGTAACGTTGTTTTCCATCATTCGCGTTACTATATCATCGGCCTCGTACATTCTTGATGATTCTGAATATGATGATCGAAGATTGGGATGCTGCTTGCGTGAGGTAGTTGCCACAGCTGATGTGGGTGAAAAAATCTTGATGGTGTTCTCGATGCCTGATGTTGCTATCACAGGTATCCGTGGGTGACCCTAATTGAGTATGATGATGAGCTCCAATTGCCAATGCTATCGTGTTTTCCTTACCTGTACGATGTTCACAGTGTCCTCATCACCTTGTAAAATCTGCACTATGCGTGCTGTTTTCTTGTCCCATATAAAGATATAGCCGTAGTCGCTTCCCGAAACAATGTATTCGTCATTCAATCCATAAAAGTTAACGTCTTTGATTGTCTACGTATTGGCATCATTGTCAGAGATGGTCTCATTCAAAACGCAACAATAAACCCAAATAACTTACCCTGACATTACAATGACCCACGTACTTTTTTCGATGAGCAATAATATCCACGTCAGGTTCAAGCTCGGATATGGATCTTAGTGAAGTAGCATCATCATCTTCATCCGATTCCTCATGATCATCCTCATCATAATACGGGTTGCTTTCTTCATATTCGTCATCTTCAGAGATATCTTCATCCGTGTCTTCGCCCATAGAGATATCGCTCTCGCCTTCAAACCCGCTTGTGCTTGATGATGACGACTCGTGCGAATCAGGATGATGATCATGTTGTGTATCGATGGTGACAACCGTTGAATTATCAGAATGCTGGGTATCAGAGTTGCTCTCGTCATTTTCATTTGAAATCTCAATATCCATATTGCTAGTTTCACTATCGGATGCAGGTCGCTCACTAGCACTGGATGCAATTGTAGCATGTCGCGAGGTCGAAGTGCTTCGTATAGAATGTTCAGCAGCGGCATCACTAGTCGCGTCGACACCATCATTTCCTGGTGATCCGGTAGATTGGCGTGATTTTGATGGTTGAGTATCCTCTTCCATGGGTTGCATGTACATGCTGTCAAGCCATTTCCATCGATCCATCGTAGTGGTTTCCGAACGTGTATCATCATCATCGTCCTCTTCTTCCTCACGATGTAAGGCTGCTATGATATCTCGTTGAAGCGTATCAATTTTTTTGTTGAAGGCGGCAAGCGAGGATTCAGCACCACTGGATAAAGAAGATGATGACGAGCTGCTGTTGCTGCTGCTGCTGCTGCTGGAAGACAAGGCATTTGTGTAGATGGCACGTGCCTCTTCGAGATAAACTTGAGCTTTTTCTAACCAATCCTTACGATCTTCGCATCCATTGCTGCGTTGTCCACCTGATGCAATCCATAAGCCAACAGCAAGGCACCAGTAACCACGTGTACAATGAATATCAACTGCCACGGCTTCAGCCTCACGAATAAACAATCGCGTTGATGCCACCTCCTCGCCTCGTAATTCCTCGTCAGCAAATTGACTTGCACGACCTTCATATATCCGCCGTAACCGTACAGCACTCATCATGCACAATTCCCATATCTTCTCAATCATGTTTTCTTCTGTTGTGGTGTTGTCATCATGTGCTCCCAAACTCTCATCCGTTTTGGCCAATAAGTTGTCAATCTCAACGATAGCATCATTGAGCTCTCCTTCTCGAAAACGTTGTATCACCAGATTTCTCCCTGAGAATGGTACCTCGTCCCGGTTGGTTGATTTAGGCTGAGAAGATGAGCGTGCCGTGTTGACTGGTGATCGTTCAATAGGTGAATCATGCATATCGAAAAGGTAAATGCCATCGGATAGCCAACTGCCAATCAACTTCAATAGAAAACATCCATCAGTCTTAAGAGATAGGCTTGGTTTTCCCCCCTTTGTATATTACCTCTCGTCCATTTGAGCCGTTGAATTTGCATGCTGTGATTTGTCGTGCTCGTCGTCGACGATGATCCGAGGATGAGGTGAATCGTTTAACGCAACGTGATTTTGCATGGTGTGCAACATTGGCGCCTCCACGATCACCTTGTCCCACCATGCGTCGATCATGCAAATAAATAAAATCATCTTTGCCGGCAATGATAAAGTACTGAGGATGTAATGGATTCAATGACATGGAGTTGAGTTCCACATCATACTCGCTATAGTCGACCAAAGGTGAAGGGCATCCTTGTTTTACATCTCGTCCACGTGGTTGATCATATCGTCTTGAAGGTTGTCGTCCTCCCAGAAATGAACTGATTGTATGCGGAGAGCAAACATGGCGTTGACGTAAATCAAAGTGGCGGACCGTTCCTACGTATGCAAATATGAATGCGATGAACAACAACCTTCTTCTTGGGATATTCCTTACCATCTTCAGCACATGTCATGAATTCAAAAGGGCTATTGTCAATGGCAATACGCTTGACGCTGGCACTATGGCAAGTATAAACATGTCGAAGTTGTCCATGATTGTTGGATCCATTGACATCAAACACACGCACTTCCGAATCGGCAGCGGCAGAGATCACCACGCTATCTGAGGTTGCTGGCATGAACTTTGCAGAGAAAATGTTGGCACTGTGACCTGCAATCCAAGATGATGAGTATCGAAAAAAAGTCGCTATTATTCCATTTCATACCAGTATCGATGCTGCATCCAAGTGAATAATCTTCCCATGGCTTCCATATACAAACGCGCGTATCATCGGATCCTGATAAGAGTTTATCACCAGTTTGAGACCAGCTATATTATACATGAGTGTTTATATATACATTGGCATTTATCTATATCCCGGCTCACTTACTATAATGAGTTGACGCAACCCGTGTGATGCTTCAGCTCCTTCTCAAGAGTGAGACGAGAAATAAGGAATTCGTCGCCATAGATTCGTTGTGCTGAGAAAGCAATGCTTAGTTGCAAGAGAGAGACTCCCATTTCACAATGAAGATTCATACCAAAGGTATTGCCCGTAAATCCTAGTCGAGGCCTGAATTTGAGACGACCGCATTCCCTTTCACGAAGGCATTGCTCAATTGTAGCGGACATGAGAACAAGTAGCTTGTCAAGAGGTGCTTTGCATTGGGCCCGCACTTGCTGATATTTGATATTGGTCTCCGCGCTTATGCAATTTAAGCTTCATGGATGCCACAACATGCTCTATGCACAATAAAATCCCTTGTACCATCCTTCCACTGATACAAAACACACCTTGTTGAATACTAGCTAGGAAAGCAACATATAATCCCATCGAAGTGTTTCATTTGCCAGCCACTATACACTCGCTGCCCACCCAAGGCTTTTACCGCCATATTCAAAACAACCCTTGTTGCAATCTTGCACCTCCATTATACAAAAACGTTTTGTTTTCCCTGTTAACCATTCCCATGTTGCATCCACTACGTATATAAAAGGTAATGCAACTTGATGATGATAGTATCCAGCATGCATGGCCAACCAAAGAGGCATCTTTTTCATTATTGAAACCCATCGATTGATATTCCATCTTTCTCTGTCAATACGATCAAGAGATAGAGAATGAGAGAGAGTTTGTGTGTATAAGGTTTATATAAAGAAGAAGGGTGGAAGGATAATGGTCCCATTGTTGCATAGCAACGATAATTGATCCTCATTGGCTGGTGTGTGCCGTGCCCTGGCTTCTTTTGTTTCCACAAGCCACCACTTATTCCAAGGTCGTTCGTCGCATTTCACTCAGTCGCCATTTCACAGCCTAAAACCATGTCATTTCTCTTGCAAGCATTCAGAAAGCAGACCACTTCGTTTCTCACACGATCGTTAACAACGGAGACACATGTTCCCAAGGATGACTTGGTCAGCCAACTTGTCAACACCATTATGCGAGACGGCAAGAAAGCACGCGCACAACGTCTTGTTTCTGACAGCATGGTGGAATTGAAGAAGAAACCCGGCATTACCGATCCTTATCAAACCTTGTCAGAGGCTGTTGAAACGGCATCACCCCTTATGAAGCTCACGACTACGAAGAAGGGCAGCAAGGCACTCCATGTACCAACACCTTTGCGTTTACGTCAACGTCGTCGACGAGCTATTGTATGGATGCTTGATTCAGCTTCCAAGCGATCTGAAAAGACATTTGAGCAACGTTTTGCTTCTGAAGTATTCGATGTGATTGAAGGCACTAGTCCCACTTTGCAAAAGAAGGCACAGGTTCACAAGCAGGCCCTGGCCAACAGAGCCAATGCACAAGTCTCTTACGGCGGCATGTCTCAATCCCGATAAGGATATTCGAAAAACAATCAGATGATGATATGATGCACCCGTTCACCATTCACCACCACAACCAACCAGTCCTATTTTGCGTGTGATCCCCACGCTCGTGTACCCCTACGCTCCTCTCTCATCCCAAATCAGTACTATAGAGAAAAAAATAAAGTTCATTTTCATTCTAAAAAAGATATATAAACCTGTCGCCGCTTGCTTTTTCTTCCCCAATCTTTCTTTCCTCCATCAAGTTTTATATTCAAACATGCAATCTAGCGACGGTAAATGCTGCGGGTAAGTATTCTCATCATCATCCTTCATAAGCATAGAGATTCACCATCTTGTCTTTAGTAACTGTGGTACCACTTGTACTTGTGCTGGCTGTGGTTGCAAGAAATAAAGCACCCCTTTTCTCGCCACAACAAGATGTAAGGATGAATAATACAGTTGACCGGGGTTGTTCTAGTAAAGCTCACCCGAGGAATTAGAAGACCTACCCTGGACTTTTCCATTCTGCAAGACTTTGTTGGTTGTCATCTATCCAATAAACATCGATTTGTATCTTGCACACTTGTTTTTGTCTTTTTGTGCTATTATGGGCTGTCATCATGTATTTGGACGCATGTCGATGACGGACATAGTATGGTCGTGATCGTAAATCACGTGATCCCTTTCATTGTTTTTGTGAGCTAATAGAGTTTTCATGGGTCATCTTATACACACAGGCTAGCTTAAAGTGTCTTGTCGGGTATAGGATCCTTATGTCAGATGACCGAGGTACAACATGTACAGTAATAACAATGCCCGAATTCCCGCCATCAACCACTCCCTTGGTGCTCATGCAGTCATCGTGTAACGATTAACAAGTAAAGAATAATGATTTCCAACATCTACATTTACTTGCAAGAGCAAAGCATGATAAGGCTCATGACCCCCTTGTGTGTTCGAGACCACAGGCCATGGAGCCCCTAATAACCTTACAAAGAGCATTACATCAATCGTCTCCTTTTTCTTGGATCCCAGTAGTTGTTACAGAGAACAAAAGGAATGGGAACACAAGATCTAATGCATAACGTGTGATTGCATAAGATGAGATGAGGGCACATGACTACCAGTATCCATCATCCATTATAGCCATTATTGGTCACGTCACGTCACGTATAGTATAGTATAAGTTGTAAATGGCGGTATATAATATTAAGTATGATGATGATGATGACGATGATGGTAGTGTAGGCTAAGTAAGAGAATGGGAGAAAAATGCTACAACAACTAATGGCATTGGATGGATCTATCTGCTGTCAAATGACCTTGACCAAACGCGAAGTGACCAACACCTGCTCCAAGCACTACGGATAGCATTAAGTAACCGTTATAGGTCATGAACACCAACATGAGCCAAAAGCTGATGCCTACAAGCACTGCATACAAAGCTGACCGGATGATTTCTTGTTGCGTCGTCAATCTAAAAAGAAAAAGAAGCACGTTCAGCAACATGATGTAAAAGTATCCTCAATGCACGGTGTTTACCTTGGTGATTGTCCTCGCAACAAGGGTCCATCATTTGCCAATAGGCCTTGTTCGCCTCGTTTGGCACGGGCCTCGTTCCACAGCTGATCAATGTTGTTTGACTTTACGCGTAAAAACTCATATCCAGCAGCAATAGCGAACACGACAAGACAAGAGCCCCAAAACCCATAAGCTGTGCGAATGTGCCACCATTCAAACACGATACATGTATCCTCGATTTGCCAGTTGAAGAGCATCTACATGCCAGTCCAATGTCAGCTGCCGCTTGGAATGGGACCCCAACCCCTCCCCAATCATAGAAGTACTTGCATTCATGTTGCAGGTAGCTGCTGGCATATCGCCATGGCCAACGTGTCCACCGTGTCCGCCGTGATCCATATCAGATATATAAAAGAGTGAAAGAAATGAAAGAGAGAATAATAAAGGAGAGTGTGACAAAAAGTGAACAAAGATAATAAACTTTAAATTGGGCAATGTAATAAACGATCTTGAATGCCTCGCCGCACCACTCATAATTGGCATTGACACGTGCTCGGTTAACTCCATTGACATGTTCGTTATGTAAATCCCACACGAATGCAGATAAATTATAGCGTTCTTGCACGCTTAACAATGACCGGAGATGCTTTCATTTTTGGTTTTGAACATTCTACTTTATACAGCAGCAGCATCTTACCAAGCGCGTTGCTACCATATATTTCCGTTCGCATGGCAACGATGGTTCAGGAAGGGAGTGATGTGCATGCTTTTACTAAAAGGTGAGTTACGCATGTCAAGCTAATGTCGCCAAGCTGGGCATGCATTTATCCCGATATACATACGACGCATCCCAATCCAATGTACTGGTGCATGCATACCGTTGGCATGGCGACCATCGTTCTGGAATCCATTGATCGCCCTCCTTCCATATAAAGACTTCTTTCGATTACCCCTTTTTGTTCACACAACAACAACAACAACAGGATTGATTGACGTTTGACATATGGCGGGAACAGCAACTTTTAGATGCAATCCATGATGGGTGCATAATGATCCATATGATTGGTCGAGTCAACTTGATCGTTTTAATTATGCGTTTTGCCTGTACAAAAGATCATGCATCACAAATCAGCATGTTGTATTTGCTCATCAATCTAACAAAATTTATCATTGGGATGATGGAGGTGGAGGTGGAGGTGAAGAATGAGGAGGGGCATGCATGGGTGGACCTGATGTGGGTGGAGGTGATGATTGAGGACGGTAGGGTGAACCTCCCTGAGGACTATAATAACCAGATGGTGGTGGTGGTGGACGTCCTTGACCATATGGAGCAGGTGGTGGAGGGCGTTGACCTATTATGTAATGCCTCAGGGTTAGAAAGAAATGACCTATATATAAACGATCACAGTAATCAGGTAACTTACCTGGAGGTGGCATCATTCCAGGAGGAGGTGGGAATGGATATCCTGGTGGTGGTGGACGACCCATCATGTGTGGTGGTGGTGGCATAGGTGGACGACCCATCATATGTGGAGGAGCACCATCTAAAAGAAAAAAGTCCAGTTAAAACATACCATGACGCTTGCCTTCCTTTCATCCATTCATTCAATATATCTTACAAGGTGGTCCCATGGAAGGTTGTGGATAACCAGAGTATTGAGGAGGCAACACTATGAATACATGGATGATCAATCCTTCAATCCTACATCATCTCATAACCCATCCTTACCTGCAGCAGAGTTTTCATATGCCTTTGTGATTTCATCAATGATTGCTTGTGCCTTATCCTGACCGATCTCTATTATACGTTGGTATCAGTCTATATCCAGTACATTTCCCATCAATATACAAACACACCTGCATAATAGTTCCGGACATTGGCGATATGGTTTTTTCCCGCGTTGTGAGCCTTTCGCACCGAAGCTATAAAGTGCAAGTGTCTATAATCAGCATCTGGTGTCCTTGATCTATATTCATTGGCTTACAGCTGTCGTGCGTGAGAAAGATATCACAATACTCTGTTGTAAACGCGATTAGTATTGACACATGGCAAGTGTAGCAAAGGATCAAGGAGGATTACCGCAGTAGTACTTAGGCATCGCGATCTGGGAGTGTGGTGGAAAGAGTACCAGGAGCAAAGAGGGCTGCTGTAGGTGGACGACACAAGATTCCCAGCACCGACACACGCACATACACGCACCCCCACACGCACCCACCCACCCACACAAACCCATCTATTATTTCACTTTCACACACGCATACTTTTTACTCGTTCACACGCAAAGCTTTTGAGAAACCAATATGTTATTCGTGGTAGTCATCGCAACATGGATACAACCAACGGTTCTTTTGTGACAATCCTTCCCCATGAGCTTCTGGACCAAGTCTTTTCAAGGTTGTCATGGAGTCAATGCATACAATGCACCCGTGTAGCTCGCTCTTGGCGATCCTTTTTATTGTTTCAGTGGAACGGGTTATGGCATAGTCTTTCAGACCTCGAATGCAGCCTTCCAAACGACTTGCTTCCCTATACGTCCTATATCCAAGGCAACGATGTACGCTCTCTACACATCCATCGACGTCAAACAGCCAAATCGGATGTCCTTTGTTTCCTTATCAACCAGGGATGTTGTTCCATACGACAAGGTAAATAACAAGCATCTACATGTACTTACCTAGGATAATAACGTGTATATTCTCTTATAGTGCATTTGAGTTGGGAATTTGATTTGTATGGATTTCTTCAGCTGACGGGAAACAGCATCACCAGCATGACGCTTTCACATTTGCATACGTTGATACCGAGTACTGTGCTTGATATCGTATTTCGATTTTGTCCCAATCTCATTGATATTGAATACCGTGTCACCAGCAAAGACATGGCATATGGCGCTTGGTCATTTCCCATCATGCATGAGTATTTACAAAGTATCGATTTGCGATTCGGTGGGCGTGTGGATTTCCCGCTTGAGCAATTATTACCCCAGCTCCCAGCATTACGCCGCATTAGTCTTAGCCCACGCAACTTTTCAATGCCAAGTCGAGTATTACAACTCTTACATCAATACGCCCCTCAGCTTGACTCGATTCATTTTTGCGATTGGCTACCATCCAACACCGATCAATTCATGCTCACAGTGGATGTTCATCATAGCGCATCATCACGTGTACTTTGGCTATTACAACAAACACATGCATCCCTCCAGGCACTTGGGTTGCGTTTTATTGTGAAATCCACAGCGGTCACCATGGCATGCTTGCTAGCACTCGATTTCCCTCATCTTAGGAAACTACGTCTTTGTTTCTGCAACGGCTTGCCTGCTCGTCAACAAGATGTTGCCCTTGTGCTTGATCATTGTCCACGCCTTGAGGAATTGGGTTTAGGTGGTATCAGCTTGAGTGCAAAGGAATTAGTGGTTGCTATTGCCAGCTTACGCAAGCTCAAAGTGCTACATCTCACACGACTACGACATGCCACCACTGAAACGACGCTTTGTTCCTTGTTTGATACAATGGCGAGTCGCCATCAGCTGATCATGCTCCATTTGGAACGTCTCACACACGTGACGGGCGATGTGCTGGATATGGTCTGTGCGAGACTAACCAATTTGCGGGTGCTACATATCAAACGGTGTCTTGGTATCACAGACAATGCACTACGCCATTTGGCAGATCAATTGAAAAAATCAACGTTGCAGGAATTGGTGTTATCAACAGGGTTCACGATTAGTGATAGCGCAATGAAATACGCTCGAGAAGAATTGGGTAACCGCGTCAAATTGATGGATGCTTCAATGCAAATGGATGACAGCGATACTTCCAGTGACAATGACTTTGATTGATTCCATTCACTTTATGATACCATGTCCTTATTGTAAATAATAGTAGTTTTATGTTTATCAACCTGAATTCTCTATTCATGAACTTCCTGCTACAGATAACCTAATAGTAATAATATCGGATTAGTATATGGCTGTTGTTGGCAAACGGGTAATAAACTTACTTTTTCAAATGCTCCATAAAGACTTGTAGACTGACATCATCAGTAAAGATTGCTGCACCTTGTGGAGCACCGTAGGGGCTGTTCGAAGCGTGGGTGGTGGAAGGATTGAGTTTGGAAAGCAAGAAACGAGCTTGTGAACCACCTTGGTCGCACACAATGTATCGAGGCACAGGGAAACGATCCATGAGCAAGTCTTGAGCATCCAAAATGGGGGCTTCGAGAAGTTGTTTAAAGTTTTCATAGCCTTCTTGATCTTGGTATCCTGCCTCTCGCCATTGAGCAATCGTTTCACCATGGAAAATGAGCAAATGGAAAAATGTGTCGAGCAAAAGAATGACATCGGGCTTGATAGAAATCGAATCCAAAAGTACAGGTTGAGGAGGGCTATCAAAGCCGTAAGATGTCAACGTGGGCTGAATCATGATAAGCGAGTTGTCCACATTTTCGCGATCCAAGACATGGCTATATGTAACTTTAGATTAGTAACCAAGTCATGTATACCCATCTCCATGGAAACGTACCGATAGAAAGCTGTCTCATCCGGTGAGTTGTTAAATACTTGCAAGAACTGACTACGTCGCAAATGGAACATGAATTGGGGATAAATGGAAAAGTTTTCGGAAAGTCTGAAGCTGTGTGGATCATCCTTGCGATAATCGGCGAATCGTTGGCATAGTCGAATCAACATGCGATCAAGCCAACGCAATACATCGGGTCCATCATCAATTTCACCCTTAAAGACAGCAATACGAGACATGAGCACAGCAGCTGTTTCTTGATCAAATGAGTTGGCAATCTCTGGGCTTTGGCCTTCGGCAAAGTTGCGAGCCACAGTGGTCACTCGAAGGCGGAATTGGCCACTTGAGTGCTGATAATGAGTAACAAATTGAATCAAGCCTCGAGAACCGGGTTGGAATTGGGCACCAGGCTGATTCACCACCTCAAAGTAAATGCCATTGGTTGTCTTGGGCGTTATTGAGCACATTTTCCAAGCTGAAGTGTTGCCAATGCCGATTTCAGTTTCGCCAACATACGAACTCTTTTTGTTTGCGGAAATGGCATGACCAATAAGACCACAGACCTTAAGCTCGCGCGTAGTCTATTGCATTGGATCAATAAAGGTGTCTCTTTACAATGTATATACACACATACCTGAACATCAAGAGTTGCATTGAAACCCATTTGCAAATGTCCTTGACTATCCTTTTGGAACACTCTTTGGAAACTTTGCTTGAAGATAGCCGTGTTGAATGAATCAGCCAAGATCATGACGCCTCCTGTAGAGTTGACCATGGACTTCATTTCAAGTAAACCAATTTGATCAAGGCATCCAGCAAATATATCGATCGTATGGCCATTGGTAGATGCACGTTTGGCAAGTCCATCATAGTACTATAATCACCAATCCATGTAAGTAGATGATGGTGATTCAACGACATTGATCCCATTTTACCTTGACAGCCTTCTTGTAATACTTTGCTGTTTCCTTTTCGATATCGTGGTGGGATCGGATTGGTTCACGAAGCTCAGTGCTCACCACCATACCAGGGCCAACAGTTGCTGGACCACCGCTAAACATCATGACACGAGCACCCGTATTGGGGAATGTGGTCTATGTATGATCTAAATGAGCAAAGAGGCATCCATCAAGTAGCCATATCCTTTCCTTACCTCAAGCAATCCAACAGCCACACTCATAGCAACACCTGTACAACGCTCAGCACGCTTGTCATTTGCCACTGGCCAAGGGTCACGCTGCAAATTCTCCAAGATGGAAGTCAACACAAACTCACAGTCCTTGACAGGAAGCAAGAATCTAAATACATCCATAGCTTAGTCATATAGAAAAAATAAATCACCGTAACATCATCAAGTGTGTACCTATTAGCGGGCATGCTCATTTGAGGGGGTTGACCTGGAGCGGCAGCAGGTTGACCGGGTCTCACAGCTGATCCTGCCAAACCTAGCATATCCTGTACTTGCTTTCCAGTATACTCCTTGGTGCCTCGGAACACAAATGACTTTGGGCAATCAGGAAAACCAAGCTCATGGACTTGTGTCTATAGCGATAACATTAGGATTCTCATACTATCATTACATACATTGCATGTTACTCACCATGGTGCCATAAGTGATGAGACCCACCCAAGCGTAAGGAGGAAGCAAGCTGAGGCTGACAATCAATGCATCCTTAAGAGCCTTCAAATCCTCATCTTCAAGGCAAGTATCGACGACGTATAAAAAGATGGGAGGGATTTGCGCAACACGGTTCAAGTTGTACTCGATGGTGGTGTACTTTGGCAACAACTCGGCAGGCAGATTGGTGTTGGAGATGTCCTTGTAGTGAGGAGGGAAGGCGTTGCGTTGCAAACAGAAGGGGCAAATCCACAGCTTGCCACGTACATCGATTTGACTAGAGATACATATCCCATCGTTAGAGGACCCTGTATACACATACCTATACAACCCCTCCCAATACTTTACCAATAAGGATTAAGGATAGCTCTACAAGGAGCCTTGCACATGACGGGTTCATACCAGATTGGCGCTTCCACGAAATCATCGCGTTCTTTCAAGGGCGTATACAAGCAAGCAATGGGGACAACAGCCTTGGTAGCTTCGACGCGGGATGACGGCCAAGCATTCCAAGAAAATCGGATGCCATCCTTTCATCACAGGTTGGAATGTGTGTTATAAAAGGGTTACACGTAGAGGAAGGGAATTGCGTGCTTACTTGCTCTTCGATCTCTTCAAAATTCATGGCGTATTGGAATAAAGGGCAACTCCCCTCCGTGTGCATCAGCACAGAGTTTCTTCTTGCTGCTGGTTACACAAATGATTTGGTTGGCTGACAGATCGCTTTCCACCACCGAGAGATATACCTTGAGATTAGAAGCATGAATCCCTTATACTTGTGTCCATTTGTACATAATAAAGCTACATGATTGAAAGCATAAATGTGCCATCCTTCGATATCCATCCATTGTAGACTCGCCAAAAGGCATCTACATTTACCCACAAGGAACATCAATAGATGACGTTTGACCTATGTACCTCCATGATTCCGATTGATCCCTTTTACATTATGGGATGGTGTATAAAAAAGAGCGAATGGTGATGATGGTGTCATGTGTGTATCAATCTTAGTGATCATAAATACCCCTTCTCGTGAATCATCATTTCCCATAAAATACCCAAACCAAATACACAACCAAAATCTGATAGTTTTATAGTGTGTCTATAGTATGATACAAAAATTCTAAACGCGACAACTTGTGAATGCCGTCACCAGGATATCGGTTGCGCCCACCTCGGTCAGCTTATCCATAATCTCGCCCTTTTGCTTAGTCTCAATCATAGCGGACACGGCAACCCAGCCTTCATGCGACTCCAAAGAGGAAATGGTAGGGCCTTGACGACCAGGGGTGATGGCGGCAGCAGTCGACAACTTTGAACGTTCAATGTTGTAAGTACACAAGACGAATCTTTTGGCGGCGATAACACCACGGATACGTGAAGTGATCTTTTCAATAAGGTCCTTGTGTTGAGACTTTTGGTTGGCAAGGAGCACCGATTCAGTGGACATCAAAGTGTGAATATCGTGTAGACCAGCTGCACGCATTGTCTCACCCGATTCTAATAAAGAGATACGTTATCAACCCCATTCAATTTGTTTCGTGACCTTCCATCTCCATGACGACTACTACTCACCAACAAGATCAACTATTCAAAGATAGAAAGAAAGAAATAAACAATAAGATAACGGGTTATCAACAGGGTCATTTTTTCGTTGTTGTACTTACTAATGCCATCTGCAAGGCCAAGAGCGCATGCAGCTTCAACGGATCCAGAGACGTAGCTGATAGTGGTAGACTTGCCGGTAGCCTGATCGAGGGGTTCAAAAATCTTGCGTGCATATCCATCAAAGCTAGTAACAATACGCTTGCCGACCAATGAATCGAGGGATTGATATTCGCCCTTGATGGGGACTTGGACACAAAGACGGCACTTGCCGAATCCAAGCTTCATCTTTTCAGTGACCTTGTCCTCGACTTCGTTTTCTACCACCATATCCTGACCCGTGATGCCAAGGTCGACATTGCCTTCTGCAACGTATTTGGGAATATCAGCGGCGGGAAGAAAGATGAGGGCGACGGGAAGATTGGTGCTGAGAGCAATGTCTTGACGCGATTTGCGATTGAAGTGAATGTCTGAACCGTGAAGAAGCTGAAGGCATTCCTCATAAAGACGGCCCTTTTTGGGAACAGCGAATAATAACCGATTGTCGAGATCCTTCACAAAGTCCATTGTGGTGTCAGTGGTGTTTTCTGTATGGGTAGAAGAAGGTAAAGTGGTGGCTTTTGTAACGACCATCTCGCTATATAGCTGCAAGTCCCGACCGGTAACACAAATGTAAGCTGTCAATCAATGAGTCATGCATACACACGCACACACAACTCTTGCATCCTACCCTCTACTTGTCTCTATCGTGCTTTTATCCTTTTGAGATATCTATTATTTGTCTTGTTATACTTTAGTTGTTATCCTAATGATGATTCAATCTCACCCATCAATAAACTGATGATTGAGAGATATACAATCGGAACTTGTCCCGGTATCCAATATAGAATGGGAAGGTGGAATGGGTGGTCATATGGTACATGTTGCACAAAGAATCGCCACAAATGAGTACATTTGTATTCATGCTGATAAGATCTCGTATTCTTGCTTTTTAACAATGGTAATAGATCATATTCGTTGCCTTCAAAAATGTCAAATTCTTTGTTGCCATGGCAATACCATCATTCATTGAATTGATGATCACCCCCACGACGATGGAACCCAGCCACTTGGCTCTTCTGATCAATCATTCACCACTTTCATTATACCATGTACTTTTAGCTAGAACATTCGTTCATTGTTTGTTATCTAGTTCAAGATAGAGTTATCGATGCTTACTTGCTTTTATGAATGGATGGGCAAGGTTCCCATGATCGAGCGACTTCAGCATTCATCTAATAGGTGCTTTGAAGCACGAATGAGAATGCATTTTGGGATAAGACATGTCTCTGTACAATGGCCAATGGTATAAGCATGTAGCTGCTGGCTATAATTGTACATCACTACTAGGCTATAATTAGTTTCAAGTCACTTTCATTGTGAAGCAGATTTGAAAATAAGGCTGGACTTCTTTAGATCATTATAGTATGTGGTGGTGTGTGATGGTATCTTGGTGGGTAGAAGAAGTTGTCATGCAGCAAAGTGGGTAATGGGTGAAGGAAGCACAAGCAGATCCAATGGAACGAAAAGTGTGATCCCGCCTAATACCGTCATGATGTGTGTGGTGTGAGAAATCATGTGAGATGGTGGGATAATGATGCGCAGCAACACCTTGACAACTGCCAAATGTTGATTGTCATGCGCAACGCCTCCCTATTGGAGAACAAGAAGATCCCATGCTGCGTCTCTCTCACACACACACACTCTCTCTCTCTTTTCCTCTTGTCCCCACGCTTTCCATCCTTTTCCTCTTTTTTCCCACCTTTGATTGACACACACGCGGGATCCAAGTTGGTTTGACCCTGCACAGACACACTTTACAAGTTCCTGCTTTTGCTCCTTAAAGGCACTACTTCTTCCTCATCTTGCTTTATTTCTCCTTCGCGTCATTTACAAGTCGTCATTGTCATTCTCGTACTTGCTCTCCCCCCTTCTTTCGCAGTCAATTCATACCATGGGTAAACTACATGCACTATAACCGCTTTAATGAAGTTGACAAGAGGTCTCTACTAGATCAATTCCTAGACACGTCGCAATTGCTCGGCTTCATGGATCTCAGTGGATTCGGAGCGTCGGCTACTGGGCTAGAATATGGTGTATTAGGCAACATGATCCAAACAACAACTCCACCTCCTCCACCTCCTCTTCCAGCAACTTCCCAACCAGAAAGTGAAAAGCCATCCAACAAGAAACGCAATAGCAGCACGACCTCTTTACAATATCGTAAACGCAACAAGACACCAGCCGATGTATATGAACAAGTCAATCAACCTTTTAATTATGCTCAAGGATTTCATTATTTGATCCAATACGTCCGTGAAAGGCAAGTGCATCATGCTACATGCATGTGGGGTGAGAGAGGGTAGGGGAGGAGAAAGGGAGACACACACCCACATACATCCACCCACATACATATCCGATATCATCCATATAGACGATCGATTATTGACATGTGATCTATAGAATGAGCAGTGATGACTTGATGCGCATCAGCAGGGCATTGGCATTATTTCGACCTTCATTTTTGGCTCTCATTATGAATCTCACCGAGGAAGATTTGGTATTCATGGAGAAATGTGTTCAACGCACTTTGCTGGTATGACACTACTACTACTACATTATGTATGCCATGTTGACTCTTTATATATCTAGGAATACGAAAAGTTGATTAGCTTTTCAGGTACACCGACGGTAGTTTGGCGGCGAACAGGGGAGATTTGTTTGGTGGGCAAGGAGTTTTCACTGTTGACGCAATGGCCGAGGGACACTTTGTTGAATACGACAACATACATTTATGAGGTAGGCTCTGAAGGGGTGGGAGTCGAAAGAGAACAAGGGGATCCCATATTAATAATAGGCCCTTTCACCATGCATTGTTATTAGTTAATGGATAATGGTTCAGCAGTGGAATATTGGGAGAAGTTTTCATTGCATGCATTTGACAGCACGGACAAGACATGCACCCATTCATGCATTCTTCGAACACCGACACAAAAGCCTGTGCCTTGCACGTTTTGTTTTACCATCAAACGGGATATTTTCGATTTGCCGAGTGTGATTGTTGGCAATGTAAGTTGTAACCTCCTTGCTCGCATTCTCCTTTAAAAGCTAATCCTTGTTTCACATTCTGGATCGTTTTATATGTAGTTCCTACCACTCCTTAGTTGAGCAATGCTGCTATTCAGCAACCTACATATTTTGATGATACCAATTACGATCTTGTATATAATTTAATGAACTAGAGTAGTGAAACATCACTTTGTCGAGTGCCATGATGATGGTTGTGGTTGTGGTTGTGGGAAGGATATGTAGTAACTAGCTCAATAAGGAGTAAGTGTGTGTGATGGGGAGTAATAATAGGTAGGGTATACAGTAATTCTTTTATATCTTTTGTGTTGCCAATGTCTGTTCCAACATCCGCCTTGAGGCCTGCTCTCGAGCAAGCTGCATTTGCAGTCGCTCAATCATAGTAAATAACATCTTGGCCTCTTGACTCGTGAGGTTATCCGTTGGTTTGGCAGATTGCGCAGGAGTGTACTTGATGGCTGCTGGACATGAGGTACGCCTTTTGCGACGTTGATGAGAACGTGGTGAATGGCAGTAAGGGCATTCATTATTGTTGTTGCTGTTGTCCATCATATCCATCCCTTCTCTTTCGTCATTTGAAGGTGCAATCGTATCATCGCTTCGTTCTTTTTCAAGAGGTGCTCCTGTTGTTGTAGTGGTAGAAGGATGATGTTGATACTGATATTGGTTTTCATCGAATGAGGGTGGTGAAGGTGGTTGATAAACAGGTAAAGGAATGTGTTTGGGTCGAGGATAAGCTGGTGGATGATTGTTCATGGAATGATTGCTTTTCTTTTTTCCAACCACACGCAATCGAGCCAATAATTGACGTTGGGGCGACACGGATGATTCAGGTGGTCCTGTGGTGGATAAGAATTGAGCAAGGGCTGCTGTTGTCCTAACATGACTATGCGATGGTGGCGACATGGTCGTCGACGAAATAAAAAGAACGAGAGGGATGGGGTAGTAAAAAAGAAAGAAATCACACTAACAGAGTATGTCATTCTTTAAATCCACATGCTTTTATATAGAACGGGGTATGTTTTCCCGATAATCGTCTCCTTTTGTTTAAAGTCAATCTTGTTTTATATGCTCCTAAAAGGGCGCTATTTTTTTATGTACAGCATGATTTGTTGTTTGTTACGCTAGCTAAACTCGTGGGTGCTCCCTGGTTCATTGTGTGCTATTGTGTGTGTGCAAATATGTGTGGTTTGTGTGTGCGTGTGTGTGTGTGCAAATGCGTATGAATCGTACTCCTGAGAACAAAGAGAGACTGAGAGAGCTTAGTGTTTGTTGGAGGAACGTTGTTGTTGTTGTCGTCGATCATTGTCGCTTTGGGGCCGACCACCCAATAAATCCGAATCAGAGCCGCTTCTTGCTATCGATCCAGGACCGAATCCTTGACCACGTCCTCCAGCACCAAATCGACGTGTCTTATCATCAAACGTAGAGAAACGCCGTTTACCAAGACCAGCAGCACCTGCAAGCATGATACCCTTACGCTTGTCATCACTCTTATTCTTCTCCTCATCCTCATCCTCCTCATCCTTGGAAGGAGCTGTTGCTGCTGTTGGAGGTTCTTGTGTAGTTGGTGTTGTTGTCTTTGAGGATGAAGATGCCTTGTTCTCCTTGCTTTGAGCAGGTTTATCAATTGTAGATCGCTTCCAACGTCGCCAGCCTTCAAAATCGATCAATGCTTGCATACATCCCCATTCGATAATCTTCTTTTCCAACCACTCAAGACTGATAGGCTTCGTCAAAAAGTCGTTACATCCAGCAGCAAGTGCAGCGTGTCGATCCGATTCGAGTTCTGAAGCAGTAAGAGCAACAATGATCACTGGTGATCGGAATGTGGATGGTGCAAGCTCATCAGGGCTATCGGATGATGAGGTTGGAGAGGAGGAGGTTGTCAAGGATGGTAAAGTGCCGGTTGCCTTGTCTCCTCCATTGTCGGTTGTGGTCGAGGATGAAGTATTCATTGGAAGGACACCAATCTTTTGTTGCCTTTCAACAGCTCGAATCTTTTTGGTTGCTTCAATACCACTCATCACAGGCAATTGGAGATCCATCTATATGTATCATTGTTAGCCAAATGGTTACTCCTTTAAGCACACAATCACATTGATCCTTACCAATACAAGATGAAAACCTCCTTGTTGCCAACGTTCCACAGCTTCTTGGCCATTGTTTGCAACCGTACATCCAATCTTGTGCTTTTTCATCCATGTTGATAAGATAGCGATATTAATCATGTTATCTATCATTGAAAGAATAAATGATTTGGACCCATTGGCATCATTTTTCCATTTGACATTTACCTTCCACAAGCAAGACATTAATAGGTGGACTGACAACATTGGCAAATGCTGATCCCTTGTCCGCTTTACGCCTCTTGTTGAGCTTCAATCCACGACGAGGACCCTTGGGTGCAACTACTGGTTTCTCTCCTGGTGTTGATGCTGTTGCTCCTGGCAATGGTGGTTGTGGTTGTGCTGTTGTTGCTCCTGGAGATTGTTGTTGTGGTGAAGATTGCTGTCCTTGAAGAGGGCTTGCTTTATCAACATTGGATTCAGGATGATCATGGGTGGCTGTTGTATCATGTGCTTGTGCCTCAGTGGAAGTGCTAGGTTGATGAGGTGTTTCAGCTGGTGTAAGTGGTGGTTGCGATGACGTTGTAGCAGGTGGAGGAGGCGATGGTGATGTAGCATCCAAAGGCTGTTTGAGATCTTGTTGTGATGGTGGTTGAAGTGCGTGATCTGTATGTGAACGTCGTCTTCCAGCAGCAGCTGCAGCAGCAACGGCACGATGATGAAGTGATGTTGTACCACTACCTTGACCAGGTGAAGATTGTCCAGTGGCCGATGATGATGATGCTGTTGCTGCTGTAGCACCCATCATTGGGAAATAATTACCCGTATCCGAACTTGATCCTTCCAAGATTGCAGGTGGACTATAGACACCACTACCCGGTCGTTGTCTTCGAGATGCCTCACCAGGTGAGCTACGATGCGAACTCCTATCCGAATGAGGTGTCTCCATCGCTGCAGGTGTACCAGGAACAGCCGGTGATTCAGCACCTGTACCAGAACGTGGTTGTTGCAATACGGATGCAATGGAATGTGGCGTAGGACTAAGAGGTGACGTGGCGATCGGCATGAATTGTGGCTCAACAACTGAATTATTCCATGCGGTGTGTAATGCTGTCAAGAAACGCCGTGGACCCGCAGGCTTTGGCACAACAACAAGACGTGGCATCGAAAATGGTGGCATCGTGGGTGATGATGAAAAGTAACGAATGGCATCACGTACACGCTTGTAATTGGTAAGCGATGTAAAATGAATGATAGCAACGGTGCCTTGATGGAAAAAGTTGGGAGCAGGTCCTCCACCTGATGTTGATCGAGATGATTTATGTCGACGTAGCTGCTGATGATGTTGCAATGCATGAGCTGAAGCAGGTGGTTGATTACGAAACTCGCGTAATTTACGTTCCAAAGTCTCAACGTCGTCATCAATCAATACAAATGTGGGTGGAATAGAATGCAATTGTTCTTCAGCAATAGCAGGCGATGGTACTTGAGGCTGCTGTTGTTGCTGTTGCTGTTGTTGTTGTTGGCTGCTGGGTTGTGGTGATTGACAAGTGGATGTCGTTGCAGGCGTTTCAGGAGTGCCAGGGGTATCACCACCCGTTGTAGCTGTACCGGCATCTTCACTTGTGGGTGTCGTACCATCAGATGCAGTGGATGTTGCGATGCTGACTACGGGCACGTGGCTAATATCGACATTCCAGCTTGCAAGACAACTTGTAAGATGGCGAGCAAAAATAGAGCGTTTTCTTGCATGCAACACCATTTTGAGTCCTTTGAGGCTGTCAATGAAACGGTTGAGCTCCTCCAATGTGGGTTCATTCGAAAACTTGACACTTGGATACTGCTTGTATAATGACAATGTCGGCTCCTCCAACAAAAGTAGTTTCCGATGATTGCCATTATGACCTGGTTCCATTTCCACTGTGATGTTGTAACGGGTCCGATTCTTTCCCACACAAGTCACCTCCAATTGACCGCCCAAGTATTCGAGCAGCTTGACTGTCAAGTTAGCATTGGGCAATAATGCAGATGAGAGGTTGTCAGGGATAGCAGGTGATGCTGTATGGGTGATCTCAAATGTGATGGTGAGTTTGCCCGTTGTGTCCGATGATTCAAGGTTCAATCCAAGCTCAATGCATGCACCAGGCGTACAGCCTTCCAGAATATTCCTCAATAACTATAAATCCATCATGCAGCAGCAACGTTAGTCCTCCGTCATCTTCACTTTTGGGTCATTTCAAAAGACACTTACATCCAATAATCCATGACGAATAGCACCTTCATCGCCCATCACATTGGTATAATGCATTCCATTGTCAAAGTGATAGAGAATCAAATTCACATCAAGCTTAGCTGCCATGCCAGCCATTGCATCTCCCACGTTTTGTACAAGGTCGCCGATATCAAATTCAACAGAGACATTGCTTCGTATCGTTTCAATATCAGAGGAGGAGGAAGAGGGTGATGTGGTTGATTCATGTTTCCCTTCTTGAAGCAAACGAGCCAACAATTGCAAATGGGAGCTGATATAGCACACTTGTTTGATGGTGGTGTTGATGGCTGAAATACTGGCTATGGGGACAGCGATTGAACACGCACTCAATAACTCGTGAGTATTGGTGAGAATGGTTGAAGGCGAGAATTGTTCCAAGGTGGTGATGACCATGAGTGCTGCATCTTGTACTTCTTGTGATACAATGGATAAGAACGAGAATCGTCGATTGGCAAGATTGCGTACTGCTTCATCTACCACTTTTTGAGCTGTGGCATGTTGATGAATATGATGTTGTTGCTGGATAGAATTAGCGTGTTGGATTCTTCGAATGACGAAAAATAAGCAAAGGCTGATAGATGCCATGAGCAAGGAGGAGATACAAGCAATAGTAGTAGTTGTAGTTGTTGATGTGATGGTGGGTATGATGATAGCTACTGATAATAATGCACCATGTTGTGTAAGAGGGAGGAGGAGATTATCCATGTTGCTGTCATGTCGCGTGTAGATGATGGCGGTCAACACGAGCCAGTATAGAGCAAGGAGAGGCGGAGCATATGGAATAACATGGCCCTCCCCATTCAAACTCGTGATCATCATTGCTGTCAAACATAAACCCGATGCACCCAATTGTAACCGATAGACTTCTTTTTCAATGGCTGATGATGCTGTATACGCTGGAAGAACAATACGTTGTGGCAATATCTGCTCCTCATCGTTACTACCAGGTGCTCGAAGATCTTGCGACGTCCATTCTGATCGTAGATATGATAAATGGGGTCGAGTATCTGGATGTGGTGGTATCGAATCGTTGTCATCATCATCCGATCGTTGTAAAGAAGGTCGAGTCTCTTTGTGCATGGCTATTGACGAGGACGACGAAGGGTTGTTGCTTTTTCCATCAGGGTCGAATGAATTGTCCTTGGTAGCATGACTGACAGGTGAGGCTGCTGTAGATGGCATGGGGGTTGTTGAACTGCCCAATTGGGAAGACTTGATCTCGCGTAAAGCGGAATGGGTGGTGGTGATGGGTGGCAAACTCTCAAGATGCGACTAGATCGAGTAGTTGTTGTTGTTGTTGTCTCACGATGGTGGTAGGTGCTATCGGTGTATGTGTGTGTGAGAGTTGAGTGAATGTGTGTGTGTGTGAAAGAGTAGAGCGGGGCCTTTTTGATTGGAAAAGAAAGAGAGCGAGAGAGAGAGAGAGAGAGAAAGAAAGAGAGAAGGAAAGCTATTTCCCTTTCTTGGATGCTTCCTAAATTCAATTCCTTGTCCCACACATAACCTTTGTGTGTTGTGTATCCCCATCCTACTTTGACTGGCATCCTGCCACATGTACTAATCGATGAATTGACATCTTCGGCTTGTTCTACGTAAATAGGTAAGACATGCTTACATTCATCTATGCACATGTCTCCTTGGCCATATCATCATACTTTCTTTTTCCTCCCCTGTTGCAACCCCATCCATTTGTAATGATATCTCTTTATTTGCATAGTAAGAATAAACTACATCCAATACCCAACATTATGGTAATAGAGTGTGTCGTGTTGTTCGGGATACGGTGGATGAATGGGCCGATACCGACACCCAAGATTGGGCGGAATGGGTACGTCGTCACCCAGCATTTTGTTGTCCTTTTATCTCAGTTTACCTTACCACCCATGTTGAGAACTACCTTGCGTGCCGCCCTTAGCGCATCACGTAGACCCGCTTTGCGTCCTACCATTGCACGACGATGTATGTCGACGAGTGAAGATAAAATGCGTGGCCGTGCTACTACCGGTGTATGTGTACATTATGGCTTGAATGGGACACGATCGAGATCGGAGGGTCTAATGGTCTTTATTACATAGCCCTTTACTTGGAAGGCAGCTGCAGTCTTTGTTGGTACAGGAGCAGGTTTATTGTTGTATTTCAGATCTGAAAAGGAGCGTGTACAAAAAGAACGTATGTGTATATGGGTATTCTCATGCGTGAATGACAACTCAAAAACAAAGGATTGATTAGGTGAGGAAAAGGCACGTGAAACTGTCAAGGCCTATGGCAAACCCAAGATTGGAGGTCCCTTTAATTTGGTGAATGCCGAGACGGGTCAACGATTCGATAGCACAACTGATCTCGCTGGACGATTTTACATGGTCTATTTCGGATTCACGCATTGTCCCGATATCTGCCCAGATGAATTGGATAAGATGTCCGAAGTGGTTGATCAAACGAGTAAGTTATACATGCTCCATTCTTTTCTTTTCCTCGTCAACTTTTAATACTCACCTATCTATGTATAGAGGCTGACTTGGGAAATAATGCATTGATCCCTGTTTTCATCACATGTGATCCCCGTCGTGATACTCCCGAAGTTGTCAAGGAATATGTCAAAGATTTCCACCCCGACATGATTGGCTTAACGGGTGATCAAGATGAAATCCGCAAGGTTGCAAAGTCCTTCCGTGTCTATGTGTCATCGCCACCCAACGTAGCTGAAGGCGAGGATTATTTGGTGGATCATTCAATCTTCTTCTACCTCATGGACCCTGAAGGCAAATTCGTCGATTGTTATGCCAAGGATACCACTGCTGAGGAGGTGACAGCTAGCTTCAAAAAGTACTATAAGGAATATCTAGATCAGGGTGGTAAAATCAAACAATAGACTTTATTATCAAGGAGAGAGAGCCAAAGGGAAAGAATGAGAGAGAGAGTGAGAGTGAGAGAAAACACACAGAATGCATATACCTTTGTAAAAGAAGGGGTTGGGTAAAAAGAAAAGATGGGGGGATAAAAGAGAAAGAGAGAGAGGTATGTTAGGGAGCAAGGGAAGAAGAAAAGAATGGGTTGTGGTGTAGAGAAAGAGTAACCAGACTTCTTTTTTGGAATCGTGATAGTTGATGTTGCTGCTGCTATGAGTTATAATACGATTCGATGGAATTGGGTGAAGGCGGAAAATAGACCAAGGAGGGTCGATGATTGAAAATGGCTGAAGATGCCCTTGTCCGATTCTCCTTTTCATGATGAATCGCTGGTGATGACAGATAATGTTGATCATGTTGCTGATGAGTCTCCTTGAAGTCGCCTTCATTGTCCCCGACAATCATTGACTGTGCTCGAAGAAACTGATTCCATGGACGACGATGTAATGTACCTGCCACAACAGCGTCATAGTATGCCTTGTCACGTACAATATCCATGGATGGCCTAGGTGTTGTATTATCCATCCTATGAGTACCTTCCAATGCATCCATTGCTTCTTGCCTTGAATTATCAGTGGATATTCTCGATGTTGGGAATGGGATAGAGGGTCGACGTTGTTGTTGTTGTTGTTGTTGTTGTTGATGGTGATGATGATACTCCTGGCTTCGCTTCTCCTTGTTGGCCATGGTAGGTAAAATCTCGGATGGTAATTGGAACTCGTTCAACAATTCATCATAGTCATCGTCATCATCATCGTCGTCGTCTTCGTCATCATCGTATTCCTTTTCATTGTGTTTTTCAGGGTATGCAGCTCCACTCGTTGTAGCAGAAGCATCATTGTCGTTGACTGAAATGGTCAATTTCTCGATATCAGGTATAACAGTGCTGACACGCTGTCGCCTTTCCTTTAGTGACAATCTCTTTTCAGGAAGCTTTGGAGAAGGAGGTGCTTCAATCGATGATAATCGTAGCTTATGTCGTTGTTGTTGATGATCAGGAGATATACTACTTGCTGTTGTAGCACTACTACTACCGCTGCTGCTGTTGCTGCTGCTGCTGCTGCTAGTACTAGTGCTATTGCTACTGCTTGTATCATGTTTGCTGTGTTCGGATGTGTTGCAAGCACTTGAATAGCCATCTTCTTGATCATGTTGCTTTTTCATACAATCGCTGCTGCTATTGTTGGATGCAATGCTGGAGGAATAATGTTGTTCCACGTCAAGTGAAAGGCGTAATGCAAGCGAGCGACCAATGGTATTTGCTTTCCTTCGAGGTTTGGGTATTGGGATTGAAGAATCAGAAGGCCAAGGTGGTGGTGTATCATCCACTGTCAAGCTGCGTGAACGTTCTTTCATTGCATGTCGAGGTGGAGGTGATAGGGCTGACAATGGCGTGGCTGGTGAAGGGAACTGCTGATTTTGGTGATGTAGCAACGGCGGCGTTTGATCCTTCCATGGAAACCCTGTTACTATGTGTAGTAAAAGGAGATGCGAGGGATGAGTAACATGTCTTTTCTAGATGTTATCATGGATCATACCTAATGAAGAATCTGGGTCATGACGTTCCACCAATTGTGACATGGGCCGTGCGGGTGATTGACGTGATGATGGTGTGGTTGCTGTGGAACATGATCGATCCGACTGTGGTACAGCACTGCTGTGGCGGCGTATCATACTTTCAGGCAACGATGGCAACTCCAGCTTGTGCTTTGACTTTTTTAGCTTGGCTACGAAACCAAAGCACGCTGTCCAACGCATAAACCGTTTCTGTGTCAATTCTCGAGTGTCTTTGTGTGGTAAACAACTGTCATTGTGAGTCGTTCGTAATAGCTGTATAGAGCTCCCTCGTCGACGCCGGCACGTCGTTGATGGCGAATCAGGAGAACAATCAGTTGACATGCGAAGAATGCGACACACACTACTGCTCTGCAATGGCTGTGGTTTATTGAGTGAATGAGTCGTTGATAGTAGTAGTGGTAGTGGTGGTGAAGAAGAAAAAGAAAGAAAATCAAAGGGAGGGGAAAGAGAGAGGTTCGTGCAATATAAGTCTAAGGAGGCTTTCAAATGGCAAGTTTGGCGATTGTCGTCTATATCCACCCACTCGGGCAGCTAATACTTCATTGCCCCCCTTCTTCCTTTTTCCCCTTCCAAGAACGACACCTTTTAACCACACCTTCACTTACATTCATTCACTCACACACACACACACACACGCAGAAAATACACGTCCATGTATCATCACCCAATTACTTTATCGTTTCCCCCCCTCTCTCCCCACCTTATCCTCGCTCCTTACACAAGCTGCTCCCCTTGTGAAAATATCATGACATATTAATGCTTACGAAAAATGTGTGCATGCAGTTCACTGCCGGTGTGAGAAGGGGGTGATGCATCAATCGAGTGCAGCAGCAGCAGCCCATTTCTGCATGGGATACTTTTCTCTCAAATATAAACACTCATACGCAAAATGACATGTTTCAAAGTAATCATTTCGCTTTAAGCTGCATTTACATCTATATCGAAAGTCTTTCCAATTAGCAAACAGGCCTGTTTATGCAGTCAACTCCCATAGTTTGTAAGCTAAATGCACGTCCCCCACCAGCCTTTCACTATTATCATGCACGTTTATGTTCGTACTACATCGGCCTGATTATCGGGATATTTCTCGTGCGCTATGAACCATCATATAGGTTCGACATATCTGATCGACATCCACATTTAGTAGCACCTCGATCATCCCATCCCTATTTGGCGCCCAATGCAATGTAATTTTTGGGTTAGTGCAAGTCATCATCCTCAAGAAGGAGAAATAAAGAGCCATCATCATTGGGAGTTCAAGCAACAATGAATCCAAGCTTGGAACTCGATGTGTGATGGCACGGTTGCTACCATTGTCTGCCTCCATTTTACTCCTAGAATGTACTACCATTCCATCTTCTCACACTTTATACACCTTTGTTCCTCGCATTGAACGTACCCCTTTGGTAGAAGATTTACGCTTCAACCTTCCAACTTTGTTTCTTGGATAGTAATCAAGCAGTGTTATCCTCTGATCAAGCTTACACAAGAAAAGGAGGCATCAAGCTCATACAAATTTCTGTGATAGGATCAAGAATCGATTGCTTTATAGGTGGAATATTAGCTGTTGGCCTTTATCACTTTGTTTCAATAACGAATGGCTAGCTACGATGTATCACAATTTGCTATGGGTTGGCTTCAGCACTGAAGTAGGGTAACCAGGGGGATATGAGGTAAGCCATTCACCACCATCCACAGTCAACGTCACTCCTGTAATATAGCTTGCGCCTTGTGAAAAGAGAAACACTGTCGATTGTGCAATGTCTTCAATCTCACCGGTACGCTGTCATGATCACGTGCATGTTGGCATATGTTGTTGTCAATTCACGTTTGTGATCGCTCTTACCTGTACTGGAATCGACTCATGAGTCATATTCTCACCCACGACCCGCTTAATACCCTCAGTTGCAGCCTAATAGATATCATGTTAGTAATCCAAGTATGTGTTGCATCATCCATGAATACACTTACGATTGGACCCGGAGCAATACCATTTACACCTACGTACGCAGTAGTGGTCATAGCAACATGTAGATTAGTACACTGTCACCATGACAACATGCTTCCTATACATACGAATGCCATAAGGACCTAGCTCAACAGCCCAATGCTTAGTCAATGCCTATGATCAATAACAGGATGGTTAATAATCATCATGATCCATTCGTCTTGATTCACAATCCCTCTTCTTCTCCTAGGACCTACATCAATAGCCGCCTTGGCTGCACCAGCATGTTGAACAAAGGGCATTCCTTTATAATGTAACGTTGCACTGACGTTGATGATGGCGCCTTTGGAAGCCTTAAGATGTTCGAGGGTGGCCTTTGTGAGGTTGAAGGTGCCCAAAAGATCGATCTCGATGACGGTACGAAATGCGTTGTATGAAAGGTTTTCAAAGGGTGCCAAAAAGTTGCCTGCAGCTCCATTGATCAAATAATCGATGCGTCCAAACTTTTCGATGGCTTTGGCTACAGCTTGTTCCACTTGTTCAGGTTTACGTACATCAGCAGCAACAGGGCTAGTGTCATTATTAGTTACTACTACATTGCATTGTTGACCACCCGCTTGTATCACTTACAATACATCACCACCCGTGGCTTCACGCATTTCCTTTGCAGCCTGTTCTAGCTTTGATAACCTGTTCAAATGCATAATGAGAAAACAACAACTTGGCATGCATGCCATTCCGAGACTTACGTTCTACTGACAATGACAGCTTTGGCGCCATGTCGCACCATGGCCTCGGTCATGCCACGGCAAATGCCACTTCCTCCTCCAGAACAGAGAACTACCCGGCCGGCAAAGATATCCTTTTGGAAAACGTCGGTGGTTGATACGGCTGCCATGGAAAGAAAGAGGGGGGGAAGAGAGCGAGATCAAAAAGCGACCTTTTCTGAAACGGCGAATGGAAAGCACTTATGCCCGACATTTGAGTAACATGCATCACTTCCACGTGAAAGTGCTGACTGAGACTTTAATGCTAACGGTAAAACAACCGGATATTGTTATACATCACCCTTCATTTCAATAAACGTAAACACTATTACCCTATATGTTCTATTACGCTGTCGAGTTTTTTGTTACGTAAGCAGCGTGATTAAGCTATTCAATGAAAGGTCGAAAGTTTACGAGCGAGCAAGCTGGTTGTTACTTTACAATAGATAAAGACTTTAATGCATTCACGGTGATCTACTCAATGATCCTCAAATCTCGTTTCCGGTCCTTAGCGTAGGTATCCTTGTACTTGTTATATATTTCTTGAAGCCCCAAAATGTATGCATCTTGCACAGCTTGAAGTTGTTCCTCTGTAGGTTCCTTTTGGCCATCCTCCAATTTTGGGACATCAATAGGCTTGCCAACTAATCATGTATGATGTCAATTACTTGTTCACCCAGGCACACACGATATGGGACTTACCAACGGTGACAATTGGATGTCTAAAGGGAACAAGGCCCATGTCATCTACAATGCCGTATTGCTTTGTAATGAGAACAAAGAACTCACGTAGAAGAATGAAGCAAATAAAAGTCTTACAATTAAACACGCCACGTGCATGGAACAATGGAAGCGTGTATCCTAGCATGGCTTGCATCTTCTTTTGAATTTTCCATACTGTGGATCCCTTTGAGTTATCCATTTGTTCAAACAACTCATTTTCTCCAAAAGAAAAAACAGGCACCAAAGATGCATTTTGCTTGATAGCAAGGCGAATGAATCCTAAGCGGCGTTTGAGCGTCAAATCTGCTGTGCCTGGACGTGCGTATAACGACTCGGCAGCTCCTCCAATGACAATGACGATAGAGCGGCCAGGGCCTGATGATAGGATTTTCTCGCATGAAGATCGCGATACCGAAGCCATGCCCATGGCCATGATTAAATCACGATACAAAGGTAATCGGAAATTGCTGGGATATGACAATGTGAGATAGGTGGATAAAAGTAAATCATATCACGTGTATGTACCTGGTCAACGTGAGTAGTGATGGAATGATCCCAGGGAACTGGGCCGAGAAACCAGTGGCTTCTGTAGCAAAACTTGCAACAGCACCCAATGAAATAATACCATGAGGGTGGTATCCGAATACGTAATTCTTCTTTGGATCCAAATCTTGCTCCTATGTCATCATGGCAAGTATGAGCCTCTTGAAACCTATTACTTACACGATGTAGATTTTGCATGTATGTACCTTGACTAGCTTGGCAGGAAAGTAATTGGCAAAGTACTTCCATGTAGGAAAGCGCCGTACCCATTCGACTCGACGCCCACCCTTTTCAGGAGCCTTGTCAAAATACACAAAGGTAAGGTAGGCAATAAGGAAAGGCCAGAGCCAAGGAAATGTCCATAAGTATCCAAAAACAAGTAAGCATATCCAAAGTGCAAAGAACCATGTGCAAAGGGCCATCATTTGCAATCGACGTTCCAAAGGAATGTTAAGAGGCGCCCATCGTATCTTTGATTTGGGGGTAGTAGTGGTAGTGGTATTGGTTGTGGTTGTATTTTCCATTGCGGTTGAAGAAGAAAGAATGTGACAAGAGAGCAGCAAACAACACATCCAGCCATAATAAAATTGCGCTCAGACCTCGTTCGTACAACCCAGCTAATTTTCACATGATAATATGTGCCACATGGCAGCATGTCTCAAAGTTTCTCTCGCCACTAGATGTTGGCCACAGTGTCAATAACCATACTAGGATAATGCTTATAGAAAATTGTAAGCATCATATGCCTTGATATATATAATCCATAATTGCATTTCTTTCATTGACAACAACCGAGAACAATCGCCGACTCTTCTATTGCTAGTACTGGTTCAAGAACCTTCAAAGTCAAATAGCGCATGGCATTACAAGAAATCCAATGAACCATAACAAGGAAGTCGATACAGCAATGTTAAAGCAAGAGGTGGTATATGGGCCTTTACGATAATACCAAGATTGCTGCGTTATACTATTGCCTGCCATGGGAATGGTTGTACCTGGCACGTTTGGGTCATGAGAGACCAGGGTGCAAAAGCGGTGTAGAGTAGTAGTAAGGACCACGAGATCCTCTAAATTGACGACATTAAAGAATAAGCCTCATTCTCGTAACATGATGCATATTCCAAATCAGTGAGATGATTATTCTTTTCAATGTAAGCAGTACCCTGATGACCTTTTCATCGATTAAGATGGGCCATGGGCCATCATTATGTTCCGCAGACACCGTATGCTTAATATGGAATAGGAAAAAACTCGGATCGGATGGTTGCAAAAAGAGTATTATATACAACGCAGTATTTTTACTGTAACCATCGATATTTGTGGATCCCCACGATTAAGGAGCTTTTATAGGTACTAACAAAGGGGGTCTCACGGCATAAGCAAAAGCGCCAAGTATCGGAATCGGTGATGATGATGCGTGCGTGTGTGTGTATGAGAAGAAGAAAAGAGAAATTTTTGGCTGTTGAAGGAACGGCGTGTTTTCTTTTTCCCTTCTCTCTCTCCCACAAGCGTTCTTCTCATCTACAACTTGCTTCCCAAGCTCTCTTTTTAAATATTCTTTCTTCATCTATCCACTGCTGAAGTACATCTCTGAACAGTACACTTCAGCAAGTTTCTTTACTCTTTTTCACTTATCGTTTTACGCATTTCGCGGGCTGTACCTAATCAGACCCGTCGTCGCCCATCACGACTTCAGAAACCAGACTTGTTTTCAGCTTATACAACCGGCGAGGCTTTCCTCCTTGGCTTGCCTGAGATTTGGCTGTTATTTGATTGAGGGAATTATCGCACACATCTACTATCGTTGCTACGGCTCAAGGTCTCTCCTCATCCTCCTCATCCGCACTTGGTGACACTAGCTTCTCTCTCTTTTCCCCCCGTGAACAAGAGACAACCGATACAAGAGACTCAAGAGAGAATATACAGACACAACACACATCTTTTTATTTATCATGCACACCGAATTGGAGACCATGGTCTATAGCAAAGCATCCTCTGCAGCTTCTACAACCACTGCTACCACTGCTGCTGCTACCGCCACGACAACCAATGCTGCGGCTTCCATTGCCATTTCTTCCCTTCCCAAGTCAACTAGCACCACCATGTCCGAACAAGAGGTGACTATCCACAACTTGAGCATTGAGCAGGTCATCAAGGATAAGCTCGCATTGATGGTACAAGAAAAGATGGATCCGGATCAAGGCAGCGCGTTCTTTGTTGGTGATTTGGGCGAGGTGTATCGTCAGCATTTACGTTGGAAGGCCCATCTTCCTAGGATTGAACCTTTCTTTGGTGAGCAACTTGTATACGATTTGTTGTTGGCTGCCGCTATTATTGTGTGCAGGAGTTTGTTAGGGATAACGGGGAACCATTAACTGACACACGTGATACGTTCTCTCTCTTTCTCTTCTTTCTCCCTGCTACTTAGCCGTCAAGTCCAATCCTGATCCTATGGTGGTGAGATTGCTTGCAAGCCTGGGTCTTGGTTTTGATTGTGCCAGCAAGTCAGAAATCCAGCAAGTCTTGAATGGGGGTGTGGATCCATCTCGTATCATCTACGCCAATCCATGTAAGCAAGCCTCGTTTATTCGTTACGCTTCACAACAATCGGTGGCAAAGATGACGTTTGATAATGCCGAGGAACTCTACAAGATCAAAAAGTTGTATCCCAAAGCCGAGCTTGTATTGCGCATTCTTACCGATGATAGCAAGTCATTGTGTCAACTTGGATTGAAGTTCGGCGCGCCTATGCAGACAGTGGAGCCATTACTCAAAACAGCCAAAGAATTGGGATTGAATGTCATTGGTGTAAGGTAAGTAATACCGCAATGCGTCATTTTTGAGAAAGGAAATTTGCTCAATCCCCTTAATTTTAGTTTCCATGTCGGCAGTGGATGTTTGGATGAACACGCCTTTGAAGATGCTGTGGTGCGTGCACGTGAAGCTTTCGATATTGGACACGCTCTGGGATTTGAGTTTTCCTTGTTGGATGTTGGTGGTGGATTCCCTGGTGCCGATGTTCAAGATGGTATCACCTTTGAAAAAGTGGCTGCAGTGTTGGGACCAGCTGTCGATGCCTTATTTCCTCCCAATGTACGTGTGATTGCCGAACCAGGTCGCTACTTTGTCGCTTCAGCATTCACCATCTGCACTGGAGTCATTGGAAGAAGAACCGTGGAGGCTGATAATGCCAACAAGTATATGTGTAAGTGATCCCATCTTCTTGTACTCTTTTTTTTTCCTACTTGGCTCACACACAAGTACCGGCATATAGATTACGTCAATGATGGCATGTACGGCTCTTTCAATTGCATTCTCTTTGATCATCAACAAGTCTATCCAAAGATTCTTTCCCGTGATGGTCAATTCTACTATGGAGATACAACCGATGACAACAACCAATTCGAATGCAGCGTTTGGGGACCCACCTGCGACTCGATCGATTGTCTCGCCAAAGAAACACGTCTACCTTTGTTGGATGTTGGTGATTGGCTCTATTGGGAAAACATGGGCGCTTACACAATTTGTGCCGCCTCGCAATTCAATGGATTTAGAAAATCGGAGGTCCTGTATGTTAATACCTTCCATTAGCTTTTGAGCATTTGCTTTATCGTAATACAATTATTGGCTACGTATTCCATTCGTCATTTGACGTATGTTGACATTGGACATTCAATGCAGAGGCAATAAACAATAAAATGAGCATTCATGTCAAGTCGACTATCATGCTACAAGTTCAAGTGTATGTATAAAAAGAGCTCCGGGATATAATAAAGATATTGGGTCACGGTAAAGGTTCTATTTTGTCAAAAAATACATTTCAATGGGGTGGGAGGGGAGAAAAGGAAGGGGAAGGGAGAGTAGTACTACAAATTACATGAATGATGTGGGAGGCTGTTATGTGCGTAAAAGTCAAAGGATATGTACTAAAAGGTAAAATATCAATGGTTGTCATGGGGAGTGGTGTTGCCATTGTTACGAAGTTGGTGTGTCGACGACTCCTGATCATCATCAAGCGTGGTGCTACTTTCACCGGCTGGTGTTGTGTTTCTGAATAAATGTGAAAAACCAGTGGCGTCGACTGGTTGCTGATCTTCCTCATGTTGACGATGATGATCCAAGGTGAGCTGTGGTTTTTCAGGAGAAATAGGGCTACTACCCGCCACCAAACGATCGTTTGCCCCATGAACATTTGCCAGGTCACGTTTAGTGGCATAATCCAGGGACCTGAAGATCTCATCATCCACATAATACGACTTGAAAAGTAACTCTAGCACCTGCATACGTTCTTCGACACGAGCAACACGTTCGCCATTTGATTCGGTTGGCAATTCACCTGGGCGATTGTTGTTGTACAGCATACTGAATCGGCGATGTACAGGATGAATAAATGGGATACCCGATGATTCTGTTGTTCTAAAGCTGGTGCTTAAACCTCGCAAAAGGGATCGTTTCATGTCACCAAATGACCATCGTTGCACTATAAGCAAGAAATCATTGATCAATACAACATTTGGCAATAGCGTGAACAAGTAACTTACCAATGCCCCATGGTGATCGAGGTCTGTACCCGAAAAGCCAAACTTGTACTGTCAACAAAAGACCAAAGATGCCACCAACAAAACCAAGAGCATTCATTAACGTATACACCTTGACTTCGCGATCTATGAGGTTTGCGAATGTCTCGGGATAAACAACAAAAAGACCAATGTCCTGGTGCGTTTGCATGTAGTTGGGGTTTTGTGCTTCTTGTCGAAAGTTGGTCTCGATCTCCATTGACGAATTCGTGATAGGTGAAAAGCCAACGTAGTTCCATCCATAATCTTGGAGATAACGATGATCGATCAAATCATAGCTCATGATGCTATATGAAAGTGGGAGCAAAGAGTATACATTGGTTGCTTGCATGTCATTGCGTTCATTGTTCAACCAATTTGAGACTTCCTCTTCGGATAGCAACACATCAACTGTGTCATTGATGCCATACACTCGTACGTTAGGATCCATCGATTTGGGATACGCTGAAACATGGACACGAGCATACGATGCAACGCTTTGATCACCAAACATTGTGAATAATAAACGTGCGCCATCATTGTTGCCAGAGGTTGATGTAAGCTTGAAATCAGGTGGGGTACGGAAAAGAAAGCACGTGATCGGACCAAGTGAATTAGCAAAGACAGGTGTGAAAATAGCTGGATCCAATGGCTGTATATAGCTTGCACAGGGTGTGCCAGTTTCCGTTTGGCAATTAAGACCAATCTTACGCATGTCGAAGGGTGATTCATATTCTGGGAAGCCATCAAAACAAAAGCGTAAATCTATAAATAAAGCAAAACGTCATGCGTGAGCATCATGCATTGGCAACAAGAAAAGAAGAGATGACATTATTACCTGGTACATCGACCTGTGCAGCGGGTTCAATGATACGCTGGGTGACATGTGGGCTTGAGATAGCTTGTCGGATGATGAACACAAGACACAATACAAAAAGGAACAAAAGGAAGACTTGGCAGATGATCCTTGTCGTTTCAGCCCAAAGTGGTTCACCCGTTCTATTTTGTTTTGTAATCTCACATGAGCATCATTCCTGCAGCTAATTCTAGAACAATGATTATTATGCAAGCTTACCTTGGACGCCAAATGTCATGATGAATACGCATCACCAACCATCTCACATAACGTTGGAATTTCCATAGCAACACGATGAGAATGATCACCACAACAACTAAGCCAATGGTAACACCAGCAATAGCCCCGGGTGACCAAGCCGAACTTGAATCCGAATCGTCGGCTGTGTAACTCTGAAGCCAACTTGAAAAGCCTTCCGTGATACCATCCAGAGCGAGCACATTGATATCGTTGTACCAGGTATTGAGCGATGCTCCTTTTTTGTACATGAAGTGGATAAAAATATAAAACTTTAGTAATGTTGCTGCAACGCATGATCAAACAACATTTGTTACCAAAAGCAACCGTCAAATGAGCACCATCTAATATAGCAGCAGAGGCATGCGATCGACGCGATGGAGGGATTCCCTGGTTTGAAGGCGTTGTCCAGGTAAAATCGGTATTCAAGACTGCAACGCCATTGATGTACGCCCTCCCTCTCATGGGGCCACTATTGTCGCCTATAATCCATATTACGTTTAATCAATCCACAAACACGCACCCCTTTTCATTTTAAGGAATATAATACATACCACCAAATACGATGATTCGATCATTGGCATCTTAGGAGAGAGAAAACGTAGCTCGATTAGATACACAGGGCTTAGACCTTGGAGACTTTTTTGTGTAACATCTTACCAACGACGGCATTGTGGTTAGATCGTGTGGATGGGACGGCTCCAGAAGTTGTAGCAATGCTCCATGTCCTGGATTGAGTATTGAAAACGTACAATTGATCCATTGGCGCCAAATCGCTCGTCAAATCCGAGTTGATACGTACACCACCTGTCACTACTAGAGCATTGTTGCTATAAATGTGTGTGTGTGTATGTGTAAGAATGGGTGTTGTATTTATAGTGTCCCACCAGCCCACGGGATCCCTATGTGCCTATACACTTGCCTTAACAAAGAAATCGAATGGCCAGTATGAGCGACATCTGTTGGGGGTAGCTGTGTGAATGACATGGTGGTTGTATCAAGAATCCACAAGTCATTGTTGATGGTTGTCGTATTAACACCGCCACTATAAATATAGATATGGTTGTTTTGTTGATCAGCTGCCACTGCAAAATCTCTGCGATTGTTGGGAACAATGGTGCCATTGATTTCATTATTGGATGCTGCAGGAACCCATGTCTGATTGGCGAAAAAGTAGGTGTACACCTGCATAGGCACCATCAAGTTATTGGTAGCATTGGTGATGCCTCCAAGCACCACCATGGCATCCATGCTTTCCATGTATACTGCACGCGCATAAGAGGTGGGTGGTGGTGGATTGTTTTGTGGTAGTACTCTCCATTCGAATCCTGTACTAGTCGCCTCGAGCTCATAAAGGTCGTTGGTATACGGTGCTGTCGCGTTCTCGCCACCAAAAAGGATCATGGAGTGGTTGCGTTGCGCTGTGGCTATAGCACTCTTGAAAGGCAATGTTTGTTCCATATTGGGAGTCGAAAAGTAGGCATGGACATAGCCCACAAATGTGAGCAACAAAAGCCAGAGCCTGATCATAGCTTGGATGTTGTACGAGTTCGAGAAAAAAGTGAACGAGAACGAGAAGAGAAATGGATCAAAGCGATATTTATTCATCTTCCCTTTATAGAAAATATGGTGGGTGATGGTGGTGCTCGATTGAATGGGGAGAATGAACAACGCAAATAGACGCATGACACCAAAAATAGAGCCCATATTCCCTTCAGCAGTTCCCTTCCGGCTTCCGCTCACACATAGAGTTTATCCATTGACGTCAAATGTTTGAATCCAAATAGCTAATACAATTGATGATTTACTGAACCGATGCTCTCAACTCGTCACGTGTCATGGTTGCAATTCCTCGTTCTTTAAACTTGGCTGCTGAATCGCTCCCCGCATCGACAATGACCACCGTATTTGCATCAGGCTCCTGGGGCTCTTTACGTAAAAGCTATACCACTCATTTAAGTAAAAATCCATTGTGTGCAAAAATCCAACTATTTACCTTGCCATGTAGAACATTCACAAGAGGACGCTGATATGTTTTCTTGTATAAGGCATCTTCCTCATTGAGTCGTTGGATTGCGAAATAAATGGATTTGCCTTTCAGGGGATGATTCTGTACTGGCTCTTCAGAGATCCGGAATTTGGCATACTCTACAATCCATCCATGGTGCTATTAGAATGACACGTTTCCTCAATATCAAGCACATCCTCCTTCTTACCTTGTATCATGTCCGCTTCAACGGAAGCATGAAGCCATTCCATGGAAATAATTGGCTTATCTGCAAGCCGGGCATAAATGTACTTGGCTGTTGGGGCTGGTTTATTGGTGGATGGGTCGACCTTGAATACCATAACATTGCATTGATGCCAATCACTGGTGTCAGCTTCGGATATGGTGGGGTAAATGGACGACTTGGTAAGTTTTTTCCACTACATGTGCAATAGGTGTAAGCATAAGCACAATACCATTCCTTATCCGGTACTTGCCTGATTGAAGATATCATCTTCTTTCACCGTGCTACTATATGTGACAGAGATCCTATTTCCCATTATCATTAGCCAATGCCTGCTTTCTTATATACATTTCCTCGTACCTGTTTTGTGGAGGATTGCGTCGTCTTAATCTCTCTGCGATTGGCTGCGGCTTTGTTGTTGAAGATCGGGATGTGCTCTTGCTTCTTTTCTTGTTGCTTGATTTTTGCTGAGACGACGATGGTGCTGGTGCTGATACAGCGTCCTCGGCAAGTTCACCTTGCTTTGCTTGTTGAGCATCCTTTGCACCCTCATCTTGTTGCGCGTGTTGATCATCCTTTCCATCTTCATCTTGCTTTGCTTGTTGATCATCCTTTGCATCCTCATCTTGTTGCGCTTGTTGATCACCCTTTGCATCCTCATCTTGTTGCGCTTGTTGATCACCCTTTGCATCCTCATCTTGCTTTACTTGTTGAGTCCCTTCATCTTGATTTTCTTGTTGAGTCCCTTCATCTTGATTTTCTTGTTGAGCATCCTCTGCATCATCTTCTTGATTTGCATGTTGATCTTCAATTGCGGGTTCAATAGGCTACAAGGAAATGTTAGAGCATAATGGGTATAATCACAGTAAAGAAACCTTACCTCGAGGCTACTCAAGTATTGTAAATCAATCTTGTCATTCTCTGCTGCTACATCTGGAGCTTCACTCCTTGCAGGGGATGCTTGGCGAAGACGTTGACCATAATCATCATCATCATCATCATCGATAGAAGGCTGCTTTTCGAATGAAGAGGAATGCTGACCACTAAGATCCGAAGATAGGACTGGTTCGATACTCTCACTTTCTAGCGATTCTATGACAATGGTGCTCTGTGTGTTGTATCTTCTCATCTTCGGTGGCTGTTCAATCTCCTTTAGTGCTCGACCCAGTGAACTTCCTGGTCCCAATCCAAAATCTCCTTCCATTGTTCCATGGCTGTATCGTCGTCGTTTCGCAGGCGGTTCCATCATCATTGAATCCTCCTCTGGAACTGGATAAGGCTTATAGACTGGGTCTGTGTTGTATTTCTTCATTTGAGAATGCTCATTCTTGTATTGTTCAGCTTTATGTCGTTCTCGTCGACGAAAATCCGATCCTTCCATCAACTCTTCAGGTGCTCGAGCATCGCCATCTTTCTTCTTAAACCTGTCAATGTCCTCCCTCCTCACACCAGGGATTTCTTCGATAGGCATTGGAGGGTCATCAATTGCCATTCGTGAAACGACGCCGTGATTGCTCTTCATGACATTGACCGCTGCATGTACTTCAGGGTATTCGAATCCAAAAGAAAGGTTGCTTGATCCATTGGACTGATTCTTTGGTCGTGTTGCAAGATGTTGACCATATGGATATGCTGCTAGTTGATCTCGCATGGCTAATAGGATAGGCTGTGATTGATCATCATGTGATTTGCTAAGATCGCTTCCAGTGCTGTTCAGTGATCGAGAACTGTATTGAGGATCGCCGAGTCCTTTGGGTTGCTCATTGTCGATCGGACCACTTTCCTCCCGTGAATCGTCCTGATCGTCCTCCACTACATTGCGTGTCTCTGGTGATTCGTGTTGTTCGCCGAATGAAGAGTGAACATCGTCGTCTATTGAATATGGAAGGGTGGCGTCTTCATCCGACATTGTGACCTTGAGATCGCTGGAGGTAATGGTGGTGTCAAAGAAGAAGCTGCTGCGGAAAACACTCCTCTAATTGGAAATCAGCTAGGAAGTTACACAAAATGCAAGAAGACAAGTCCTCCACCCCAATTTCATTATGCAAATCATTTCATTGTATTTTGTACAACTCTTTTATTACAATACAAATATTTACATGTTACGTCCATGAGCTACATCATCACCATGAGCGGCTTTGGCTGGATTACCAGTGAGCTTCCCTGCCAACTTTTCAAGGCCTCCCTTGATCTTTTCACCAGCAGATGGCCTATGCTGAGATCCAACTGCTTGTTGTGGTTGTTGACCATAATCTGATGTCTGCTGAGATGGATCAAAGGATTGTTGTTGTTGTTGTTGTGGTTGTCCATATCCTTGTTGTTGCCCAAATCCTTGTTGTTGGGCATTACCACCAGTAGTATCAAACCCCTGTTGTTGAGGAGCAGCTGCACCACCACCATATCCTTGTTGTTGAGTACTACCACCATAACCACCAATGTTGTCATCATTGTATCCACCACCTGAAGATTGGGTAGTGTCATAACCAGTCCTCGTACCGCCGTAGCCACCTGCTGTATCATCATTGAATCCACCACCGGAGGCTTGTGTGGTGTCATAACCCATATTGTTATAGCCGCTAGTATCGTTGTAGCCACCACCAGCCGATTGAGTAGTATCATAGCCACCCACGTTTTGACCAGTGTTCACGGCATTTCCACTATCATATCCGGTTCCCGATTGCTGGGTTGTACCATAAGCTCCTGCTCCTCCTCCTGGATTGCCGCTGTCATATACATCGTTGCCAGTGCCATATGCCTGCTCGAATCCCGTGTTGGGTGCAGTTTGGATGGTGGGGTCGTTGTATGCACCACCCGATTTCATTTGCTGATTACCATAACCTTGATTATAAGACATTGTGGATAATTAAAGTGCAAAACAATGATAATTGCCATGGCCTTTTTTTATACTACAATGATCCCCATTCCGACACGTCATGAACATACCCTTGTTCTTGCATTGATATTCATCATGTTTCAAATCGCGATCCTGCAAGTCATATGCCGCTCTAATACAATCATCATAAAAACATAGCCGCTCGTGATCATGCTACGCATGTGCTGATGGGTAACTGGATCATCCTACCCTTGGAAACTTGGATTTGAGACCTTACAAAAGTGGCATCTCCTGTTTTCGTGATCATATCTGAGAGGCTAAAAAGAGCATGTCACTTTATGTTTATCGCTGTAAAAGGAGAGAGAGGAAATCATTTGTGCTATACAGTAAGATAAAAAGGTTTTGAAAAGAGAGAGAGAGAGAACTAGCAAGACGATACTACAATAAGGTTTTTTTGGGGAATAAAGGATGAAAGAACACAATTAGCTGATAGTGCAATCCTCGGTGGATCCTCCACTGACTGCAGCACCCAAACTCTTTTTGCGATCCTTGGCTTTTCGTTTGAGTAGTTTTTCTACCGCCTCGGGATTCATATGATGCAATGCTTGGGCGTGGGATAGTAATGCTTGATTCTCGCTCAATGCCCGTTGCTCTTGCTGCGTCAAACCCAATGCTAACGAATACTTTCGAATGTTTTCCATTTGTGGATGGTTTTCAAGTGACATGCCAAAGATGTCTTGGCGGTTCCAATTAATAGCAGGGGCACTTGCACTGCGAGCGGATGTATCTTGGGATGTACGATCCTGTGGGCTTCGGTTGTAAATCTTGGCAGAAAACACCCACTACATCATCATCATTAGTATTCCAAGATGGCATGTGTTACAGTAAATCTTACATCATAAGAAGGCTGTTGGTCCTTGACTTTGGGTGGACATGAAAAGGCAAGCTTCTTGCATTCCTCGTGACAAATCAATGCACACACTTCACAAAAGATAGCACGAGATTTCATCAAATCGCCACACACTTTGCATTCGACCACTATTGAAAAGCGTCAACATACGTTGTCAAGGTTATACAAGGGCAACAACAAAACGTACCTTTGCCAAATGAAGTTTGGATAAATCGGTGTGTGATGTAATCCTCATCAACGCTAAAGGACATACCACTCTCGTTATCGAATGACGTTTCGGTATCAAAGCGTTTAGGAGATGCAGCTTCGCAACGAACCGGCCGTTGCTGCTGGTCGAGTGGATGACAATATTCCACGCTGGATGACGTTGCTGTTGTGACATTGGATGATCGCTTACTTTTGGATGATGAACGACAACGATGATGGTGTTGACGTTCATGGTTAGGTTTTTGTTGTGGTTTGGATCGTTGTTTATGTTCCAAATAGCTTGTAAGTGTGGATGATTTCTTCATGCGTCGTTGATGAGTGCGGAGCCAAAGGTGTTCCTTAAGTTGGGTTGCTGTTGGTCGATCATCGGGATTCTTTTGAAAGCAGCATAACAAAAAGCTATGCATCTCATCTGAAATCTTATCCGGTAATGGTGGATAATTGTCTTCAACGATACGAAACATGGCTGACATGGCAATCAAATCTGCATAAGGAGGTTTGCCAGTGATCAATTCTACCAAAGTGCAACCAAGGGACCAGATGTCGCATTTGGGAGAAGCACCTTTGAGCTCAATGACTTCGGGTGCCATCCAATTGGGTGTGCCGGATACAGTGCCAGCATCTGCACCTTTAATTTTGAGGTTGAGTGATACACCAAAATCGGATAGCTTGACGTCTCCTGTTTTGGTGGTGAGGATGTTGGCCGCTTTGAGATCACAATGAACCACTTGGTTGGCGTGCAAGTACTCAAGTCCATTTAAAATCTTGATGCAAAAGGATGCAACAAGCTTTTCGGGGAATGCGCCAAATGCTTTGAGGGTGGACATCAGGGATCCATTTTCGGCGTATCTTTAAAAGGGAGATAAGAATAAAGGAAAAAAAAGGCTGTGCATGCAAGGGGGTATCTGTGCGTAAGCAAAGCACCAACTTACTCTAATGCAATGTTGATATGGTTGCGACTCTTGATGAAACCAAGATATTGGATGACATTCGAATGGCTCAATGTCTTTAGAAGGCTGACTTCTTTCATGATTTCTTGGTCAATATCGGCATCATCCAATCGAATACGCTTCACCGCCACAGTTTCACCAGTGGAAAGATCAAGGGCTCGATACACAGATCCAAATTGACCCTTTCCAATACAATTGCCAAGTTGGTATTGTGTTCGTGTCAATCCATCTTTGCTTTTCAATGAGATCTTTTCTCTCGATTTGCTTGTGGTGGTGCTGCCTTTATCCTGCTTATCGATTTCCACTGCTGCTTTGAGTAGTTGACGATGGTCCAAATCCTTCTCACTTTGATCACGTGGTTCTGGATGTTGATGTTGATGATGAAGCATCATCTCACTTTTTCGGCGACTTCGACCCGTAGTCGATTGTGGTGTTACAGGTGGTGTTTCAGAGCTTGTGGATGATGTCGAAGAAAGAAAGGATTGGCACGAAGATGCTGATGATGTACGAGACATGGCTGTGCTCGATGTAAAATCACGAGTACTCGTTTGATTCGAACGTCCTTGGGATGAGAAAACAGGTGCTGATGGCCGCCGTGTCAAAAGTTCCTCTGCACTTTTTCTTCGTTGTGGATGATGATGATGAGATCGTCGTGATGGATTTGACTTGTTAGGCGTTGCTCTTAAAGGTGATTTAGGTGGTCTCACAAAGGGATCATCTTCGTATGCGTTAGCGAAGATATCTCGAACATCTCGATAGCCTGTAGTCGATTCATGATCACTCCCATCATCATCATTGTCATCGTCATCATCGACAATGGTAATCGGAGCATCTTTTTTTGCGTGATAGTGAAAATCATTTAGCTCCTACACATGCCTCTCCTGGCAAAACACAATGCAAGCAGCAAACACAGTTACCTTGAATCTCCTTTATCGCCGCCTGTGCATCCTCCTTTTCACCCGCTGGCACATGCTCCTTTGGCGCCTTTGGCTCCTTCTTCCTATCAACCGACTTGTAGTGCATTTGTGCTATTACAAGAATCGTGTGGATGACCTATTGTCGTTGGTAATATGAATACCATTGAGGTGACCAAATTAGTTGGTGGGATTCTTGGTGCACTGTAAAAGGGATATGCAGGGGCTGCCTACTACTACCGGTATTACTCACTGCAGGCATATCCTTAGCTTCGAACAAGTCTATCGTTTCAAATAGCTGCGCATCATTGAGGCCAAGCTAAACAAGAAGCAGCCATGTATGTGTGTGAGTGACCTTTTGCTATATCCAAGTACGTCCATTCTCCTTTTACCTGCCGTGCACCTTGAAGAAAGCGGGTAATGTTATCCATCTAATTGTTTATTTATTATGTCAACATCACCAGCCATGAGTACTATAACACATAATGCGTGCATTTTTCTCACCTTGATAAAAGACAAATCGCGTTGGCCAACATGCCTAATGGTTCCTGGGCGGAGCTTGTTGACAAGGCTGCACACAAATATCAAATCGTTAGTCAGCTGCTGAAAGGTCTTTTAGTATCCACCCCCTTGGTGACGCGGAATAACAGGGAATATGCCACCAGCAGGTAGTGCACGTTGATTTTCCCATGTAAAGCGTTCTCCCATTCTCCATAGGTGCATAAAAAAAGCACATCTCACTCACTTGCATAGCAACACCCCATCTTTGAGTTCATCATGCAGATTACCGCATGTAATCGATGCATGATCATCCAACATCTCATTAAGAAAATCCACAGCCGCCTGCTCATCATGTTGCAGCTTGTCTTGCTTCATCTTGTCAAATAGCAAATCAGCTCCACTTTTCGATCGTGCAATGCGTACAGGTGATGGGTGATTATTGATAGCACCACTTGATGCCATTGCAAGCGATATGATGATGTTCGTTTACAGTGCTCGTTTTCGTGGTTTGTTGTTGTTGCACGTGTATGGATTCTGTTGCAAGAGCAATAAGGAAAGCCGGATGGTGATGACTTTGCACGATATTCACGTTTGAAAAATCGCGTATTAAAGCTTATAGTAAGATGAGATAATGTTTGAAATAAAAGAGAGTGTTGGGGAAGAAAAAGAGAAAGAAACGAAATGAGCGCCTCACTCTGACTTTAAACTACATCACTACTGCCACCCATTTACCCATTACAAGGAGACGACAGGGTGATCAACGCCTCCTGAAAGATGGTCTCTGTGTGGGAGAAAGTGAGAGAAACACAAAGACAAAGCAACCCACGGTCAGACCAAAGGGTGATTTGATTGCTGTCAACATAATAAGGCTTGACATGGATAGCACACAAAAGGCAAAACGAGCTACGCTGATATCGGTGTGTGAAACTAAATCATGCACGCATGATAGATCCATCGTTCGATTGTACACATTATTAGGTTGTTGACAACGCTTGTTAACGGGAACGAGGTGGGTTTATTCCTTGACGCTGCATATTATGCACTATACTCATCCTCGTTTTGTTGCGAATGTACTTGCCCTTCACTCCTCACAGGGTACATTTCTCCCCAAACAATAGACGCTTCTCACCACATTGAATGTTTCCCGGATACTGGTCCCATCAAGCGAGAAGATTGCCAATCTCTCCCATTCCATGCCCCTGAAAAGATACATAAAGGAATGAGAGCCATTAGATTACGTGCAAAGAAATTGTTTCACTTGCTAGGAAAACCTGATCATCCTGGATCATATATCGCTCACATGTATTGAGATTCATAGCTATTAACTTGATCACATGGAAGAAAAATGTGCCTGTCAAATTACATCCCGTTGAAGTTGCTTGGGATTGTATATGACCTTTACCATGGTATATCCGTGGCGTTGACCACATTGATTCATGGTCCCCTAGATAATGCAGTGGTCGAAGCTTTATATATATTTTTAGTCACGAATGGATGGCATGATAGCAACCAAATCCTTGCTTACCCAAATAAAGCCATCCCACAAACTTACACAGCCCATTGATATCTCAAAATAAACATGTAACAATGACTCTTTAATACAAACAAGATAATAAATCGCCAATACTATCGCTATGGAAACTAAGATTGCTACGAGACAGTTGCCATGCGACTCAAGATGGATGATGGGTAAATGCGATTCCTTTGTTTATCATCAAACTCCTCCTTTGGTGTTTCCCAGTAAAGAGATTAATTGAGCATACCACGGATTCAGGGATGATGAATGTTTACTGCCCCTGAAAAATTATCTGACCTAGTCGACCTAATTTCCAACTGCCTATTTTCACCAATGGATACACAAAGTAGTTTATACAATATGCCAATCTATGCCCTTTATTCAGCCTTTGTAGAACCAAATCCAGAGAAACCCATAAGCTTTGCCATGTCATCTTCTTCTGCATTAGGCTCCTCTTCCTTGTCATGCTTCTTTTTCTTTGCCTCCTTCTTTTGTCGTTTCCTTTCCCTTCGTTTTTGTCGCTCCTCTTCTTCTTGTTGCTTGAGTGCAGCAATGCGCTGGTCTAAGTCTATATGAACATTGTTAGATACACAGCCCTTTCCACATCACTCAAGATCGCAACCTACCATATTCTTCCTCAGGTTCCTCTTTTTTGCGCTTGAGCATGGCTAATCGGTCCTTGACAGAGTCAACAGACGAACGCTCCACTTTCATTTGCACACCGACGTTCCGTTGATCTATAACAAAATGCATGAGCTACCTCCCACCATGAATGATATCCCCACCCTTTTGATCTTACGCTTTCTTCCATTGATGTGATCGAGATAATTGGCACTATCCTTGACGACGATGTCACAAGCTTTACAATAAAATCCAGGTTGCCGTGAAGCCTCGCCTGACGCACCACCTTGTACAACTTGTATCTTGCCAATGTTGGAGTCAAAGTCGATCCTGTCGTCACGCATCTTGAGCGATTCCAATTGCTCATTGTTGTCTTTCTTTTCTCGGATCGGTGGTAGACCCATGCGTCGTCGTTCTTCATTCTTCTCAGCCAATCGATCCTTTGCCTCACGCTGTTTGGCACGCTCTATATATTCAGCCCTGTCCCATTTGCGTCGAAAATCAGTGTCGCTCTATACAATGATACATGTTAGCAAAGCAGATCGTAATAAAGCGTAAGACTACTTACAGATTTGCCGGATCCGTATGCGCTCATTAGTGTCGTAAAAGTAGTGGTAGTGGGTGGGTGGTGGGACAAGGAAGAGCAAATGAGCGGGAACACTTTGGCATTTTATTGTCTCAGCCAATTGGGGTCACTTTTGTGTTGCTTCGGCTATCTCAATGACTGACTGTGCATAAACATGGTTGTTAAGAGCTACCTTAATTAGCATATCAACGTATCTTCCCCATAAAAGCATTTCGTTGTACCTTTCTCAATCTGAATGACATTGGATTTAAGGGCTTCTTTAGTGTACGATATTGCTGTGATAAAGGGAAAAGAGAGGAAGAGAAGGGGTCTGATTGATTTGAACAAAGGTTGCATTCGATAGCATAACTCACCTCCGGTTCCTTTGTGATCATACCTTATCAACAGCATCATTACACACGTTCTTCGCCTTTCCAGATCCATAACAATTAGAGGCAACCACTGGTATGAATAAATATTCACCAAGGCCATTCAACTTTTAGTAAGATTGATAAGCTGAGATGCGTGTTGTTTATTTCTCAAAAGAAGAGATCAGGTGGTATAAAATGGTTATGACTTCTTGAATACGTTGGCGGAAAGGATGGTGCAACAATAGGGGGAGGTATAAATTGATGGCTGTATTGATGACGAGTTGGTGATGGTTGGATAAGAGGTAGAGGAAACGTTGGCATAGGCGTATGTGTGGCATGTGGCATGTGCCATTGTCCAGGATAAGGCTGATCGTATGATTGTGTCGAATGAGGCAGCTTTTCATCTTGTTGATTGTATCTAGCTGACGATGACTTGCTTTGATTTGCTGTCTTTTTCGGTGATGCATGAACACGATCATCTGCAGTACGAAGCTTCTTATCCAACGTTGTAAACTTTGGTCGCTTGTCCTGTTGATCCTGACGCTTTGCACAATGCCTTTTCAGCATCTCCTCCTCGTTGTCAGAGAGTATCTTCCTGAATTCGCTGTAAGATACGTTCTCTATTTTATCATTTGAGACGCTGCAACAACAATAAAAGCGATCCTTTTTCTCTTACCTGGCAAAGGCATGATGTGTACTCCCTCATTCTTTAGTGATTCCATAAACTCCTTGTCTTCTGATCCAATAAGGTTGACTGCAATACCCGATGTACCTAGAAAAGAGCATTCAATTACCAGCCCTAGTCGTTGTCGACAATATCAACACATACCAAAACGCCCTGTACGTCCCACACGATGCATATAGGTCTCCTTGTCCCGTGGATACTCAATGTTGATTACCAAGTTAACTCGATCGATATCAATGCCTCTAGCGATCTATCGGCGTTGCTTAGCAACCAGATGTAGAATAGTTGTGCCCATCACATACCAAGTCACTGCATACAAGTACACGTAGTTTGAAATCACGCATTTGCTCCATCACATCGAGTCGTTGTTCTTGAGACAATCCACCGCTAATATAGCCTGACATCCAACCCATCTCTGTCAACCATTTGGACAACTCCATAGCCCTATAAAATCAACGTGCCATTAATGATATGGTCAATCAAAGCATCCAATAAACGTACCTTGGGACACTGTTGATGAAAATCATGCATTGATGAAATGGTATCTTGCCAAGGATCTCAGCTGCAGCTTCAAATTTGGCCTTGTATTCTGCCAGCTTCCGCTTGAAAGGATTCTCGATTTCCCCAACGTCGATAGATTTATAATATTGTTGTACCTCTATCTTGAATCGTAAGCTCCATGGGGAAAATGAAAAGACAAGGTGAACGATCTTCCATACCTTCAAGCTCGGGCACTTTAGTGGTCAATCGCACGGTTTGAGGTTTATCCATCAGCGTATCCAAAAGCTTCAAAAGATCATCTGAGAATGTGGCAGAGAATGCAATGCATTGTTTCCTCTTGGGCAGCCGGCGATAAACGTATCTTGATCAATGCATTAATGATCATTTGATATAAAGAGAACATGCCCTTAATCCACTTACTGTATTTGCTTGGTAAAGACCTCTGACATAAGTCTATCAGCTTCATCCAGCACCAATAGCCGTATTTCACTTGTATCAAGTATCCTTTCTGTCATCAACTGGATCAATCGCCCTTTTGGAATAAAACAAAGCTCTATAAGTGATCCACAATGTGTGATGGCAATGGTGATATGGTGTATACCTGGTGTCCCAATAACGACTTGACACTTTGGTGCTTTCTTCGCATCTGCACGTACGGATAATCCACCAATGAACGCCTCGCATTGGAAACCTTGGATATGGCGGCCGATATTACGTAGCACATCTCGAATTTGGATAGCTATTTCTCGCGTTGGAGCTATTACGAGCACCTACAATGAAACAAGCTTGAGACACCACCCCCTACTTTTGTCATTGTTGCAGCTACTACCTGAGGTTTATTGACGTCAGTACGAATCGACTCGAGAGCAATCACGCTGAACACCACTGTTTTGCCAGTTCCCGATTTGGCCTGTGCAATGAGATCGATACCCAGTCGTCCCAATGGAATGGCTTGCAATTGAATGGGCGATGGTCGTTCATAACCGGCATCGGCAAGGCCACGAACAAGTTGCTTGCTTTGTACGAGTGCCTCAAAGTCCACATTCTCATCAATTTCGACATCGCGAGATCGCTTCATGGCGGATAGAGTTGTTTATAAGAGAAAGTGATAGAAATTGATGATCCCTCAACTACGCAAAAATACAATTGATTTCTCTATCTATCTATGTATGATCCCATTGTCTATGTACGTGTGTAATGATTGTGATTGCTCAATGACCCCCTCAACACCATGCCCGAGACCGCGGATGTTGACAGCATATGAATACGGGTGTAATTGGATAACTTAGGATGTGTCAGATCAATTATTGTTCTCACGCTTACCCAGGAATTTAGCCATCTGGAGAAATAGGCAAGTAAAGAAGCGGATAATGAATGAATGTGTTGCTCTCATTCGTGGACTAGTCGGATCGAGATGGATAACAATTAAGGTTTCCGCTAAGTTACGTTTCGGTTGCCAGTGGGGTAGACAAAATTACACACATGGGAAAAACGGAGCATGTGCCAAGCGATCAAGGGGCATTTCCAGCAGCGTGTGCATTTGGGCCTTGTTTGACATTATCTTAACAATGATCGACGCCACCAATGACGCCCATGTGGGATTGTGGGAAGCGTGCACAAATGTGTCACCATGGAAGAAAACGATAGCAGCGTTATATATCTTTTGTCCAAGACAATGGGAGTATAATCAGATAAGATGTGCACCCTTGTCAACGTGGTGATGTATGACACACTTAGTTTGACAAACAATTGAAATTGAATGAAATAATATGTTTCCTTTCCCCACACGCCCAAGAAATGAACACCGCAAATGCAATACCGTGGGATGCTTTGTCACCACGAGGGACTTGTTGACCAAAAAAGGAGTGTTCAAGTCGCAATATTTGTCATTGTGTTGCCATCTCGGTCTGGGGCAGTTAGTCTTATCGAGTTGAACCTGTGCTACCAAAAGATAAGTCGGAGCAACACTTGTCAAAGAGAAAATGGATTGCAACCAATAAAAGCAAAATTTTGGTCCTTCTTCCTTCTTTTTATTTTTTTGTGTTCTTACGCTTGCCAACAACACATTTGCCCTTATTACCGATGGCAGAAGACCCTCGAAACAACCAGGATGCGATAGTAACAGCTGAATCAGGATTGTCAACAACGTCTGAACATCGTGAAAACGATGTAATGGCATCTCTCGGCTATAAACAGGCATGTCATTTGCATATATGCCATCCATGCAACAATCAAAGCTGACCTTCCATACCATACGTATACGCACCCAACAGGAAATGAACAAATCCATGTCCACCATTTCCAACTTTGCCGTCGCATTCGGCTGTTGCTCGATTCTTTCTGGTTTAACACCTGTAAATATCCAAAACGATCAAACAACATCCCGCCACTCCGCAGCCCAGCATCTCGACTCACCTATGACAACTTGCATTTCTATTATAGCTCTGGGGTGATGCCATGACATCAGGTGGTTCCATCGCCATTATCGAAGGCTATCTTTTGGTCGCCATTTTCACATTTTGTGTGGGCCTCTCGCTTGCTGAAATTTGCAGTGCCTATCCTGTTACAGGTGGCCTTTACATTTGGGTTGCTCGATTGGCTCCTCCCGACTGGGTGCCTATCACTTGCTGGCTCACTGGTTGGTGCAATTGGCTTGGCTTGGTAAGTCTTCATTAACATACATGCACATCCTTTCATCCAAAGTTGACTCATTTTATGCATTGTAGACTGGTAATACATCTCATTCAAATGCAGCATACATTATGCACATTGGCTGATCTTCTTTTTTTTCTCACTCAGTTGCTATTACTTCGACGGATCTTGGTCTCGCTCAATTCATCTCCTCGTTGATCAATATTACCAATCCCGATTATGATGCAGGCATCTATTGGCAATATGGCATCTTTTTGGTCATTGCTTTTATTCACGGCTTGATCAACTCTTCCAGCATCAAATACAATGGCTTGTTCAATAATGTCTCCCTTGCATGGCATTTGATTGGAACCTTGATCATTGTCATTGTTGGTCTCGCAATGACCCCCAACAAGGCCAGTGGCAAATGGGTGGTACGTTGCACATGTTTACTATTGATTTTCCCATCACCTTGATTGTCTCACGCACAGACGTTCTTTTATTTGACAGTTCACCTATTTTGAAAATGACACGGGCTTCTCATCCAACGGCTACGCCTTTTTGATCGGTCTTTTGCAATCGCAATATACCCTTTCAGGTTTCGATAGTGCAGCACAAATGTCTGAAGAAACCAAAGATGCAGCTCGTAGTGCTCCTCTTGGTATCTTGTACGCTGTCGGCACTGCCGGTGTCTTTGGTTTCATCTTTATGCTTGCCGTCAACTTTTGCGTACAAGACTTCCAAGCTCAAATCGTTGAAACCAACATCAACCCACAAATGACAAAAGTCTTCCTTGATGGCGTCGGCTACAACCTTACTGTATTCTTTTGTGTCATCATCATGGGTGCTATGTTCTTTTCTGGATCAGCTCTCACGCTTGGTAGCTCACGTCTTGCTTATGCCTTTGCACGTGATCAAGCCATGGCAAGTATTACAAGAACAAATACTCGATAATGCTATCGAAAGCTAATGCTCTTTGAATCTTTATAGCCATTTAGCAAGTACCTTAGCCGTATCAATAAGCGAACAAAGACACCCGTTTATGCCGTTTGGGGCAACGTCCTCTTCGCTGTCATTGTTGGCCTATTGGTATGTATACAATGAAACCACTACTATTATCTCTTTTTTTCATTGTCTAACGATGTTCTCATAGTCGATCATCAATTCAACCGCCTATAACGCCATTGTTTCGGTCAACACCATCGCCTCTTCTCTCGCTTACCTCGTTCCAATCTTCATGCGCCTCACTGTTGCACGCAAAAAGTTCCAACGTGGCCCCTTCCATCTTGGTCCTTTCTCACCTGTCATCAACACGGTCAGCTGCTTGTGGATTGTTTTCACGTCAGCCTTGTTCTTATGCCCTACCGAAGCACCTGTCACTGCACGTACGTATCATCTTGCACAAACCAATGACTTGACTATAGAAGGTATTAACTTCTTTTCCTACTTTAGTCAACATGAACTATGCATGTGCTCCTTTGGCATTTGTACTTGGCGGATCGGTCATCTACTATTATGCGTACGCAAGAAAGTACTTCCATGGCCCTGGCAAGAGCCAAGATCCCGATCCTTATCTTGATGAGTGCTCTTTTGTTGATACAGTTTCAAGCAATCCTGACGTCAAGTCTGCCAAGCATGTGGATGCTGCTGAAGAAGAACGTCGTTAATTATACCTTGCTCTTTTCCCTTATTTACTTTCCCATCCTCAGGCAATCTCTTTTTGTGTCTCCAAATTAGCCTATTTCTGTATATATATATATCTTATCAGCAGGCCTTTTCTTCCCTCGTTCACCATCCTGTACCAAGTACATATTTTAGATTATATAAAGATGTCTTTTATTATATCCATCATGATGTTGTTGTGATCGTTGCTATGAGGTCGTCATGCCCAGGATTCGAAAAATGGCTGAGCCCACCAAATGAGCATTCTTGATTTATTTTGAACAGCCTCACCCCCATATTGAGCTATTCTTTTTCTTCCATGTCATCACGTTTCTTAAACAGGTTCATGCGTTTCCCGGATCACGCTCATGTACGATCATCACTACGAAACCTCGACAGCTGGATGAAAGTGTGTCTTTTTGGGCAAAACATCTTTCAACAGGTACATTTGACGCACCAAAAGACCGACCATGACTCATCGTCATGCTCATTCGATGCAATATTTATTCCGCAGATCAATGCATACCACACAATCTATGCGACCTTGAAGGAATTTATATATGGTATGCGGTTGCCATGCGACAAGCAACAAGGGCATAGGTTAATAGGAGATCTGCTGCTTCGTGTTATGTAGAGAGACGGCTTGCCAATGTGAAAGAAGCGATTCTACTTTTGGCTGCTATCATGATGCTCACGGCACTTTTGATTGATCTCTTTGTTTTTACATCGGTAGAAAAAAAATAGTTCCCTATGTCATGTATAAGCGGCGACTTATCGATTTGCTCGCATAGACTAAAGCTAGCGTGATCCAATCCTCTCGATGGAACCCCGGTGTCGGATTCTTGGTTACCGCTTTCATTGTCGAGCTGATTTCCATCACTGGCTTGTTTCTTGAGAGCGACGAGTTATTGCAACAATGCCAGCACGACCTTACAAGCCAACATGGCAACATGCCTCCTGACAACTATGTTCGCACCCTTTGTGAGCTTAAACGTGAAACCACCCACATGTCGGGCACATTTAGTTTCTTTTTGCAAACGCTCTTAATCGTATGTGTGTATCTATTTCAAGCATTGTACACGCTAACTTTTTCATTTGTAGATCGCTTACGCTATCACAGCACGACTTTACATGACAAAGCGTGCAGCTCAATTTGAACAAGATACAACCACCGAGCCCGCACCACCACCACCCATATCCTTGTACACTGTCTCTGTACCTCAAACAAGTGATCATCGACGTAGTTGTGAATACCCAGCAGCACCACCTTATAGACCTGTAGATCCGCTCCATCATAATGCATGATAAAGATACCCAAATGCATGAATAGTAAACTTTTATCAAAGTAAACATTTATCGTCTTCGTGGTGGTGGGGAACGAGACCTTGATGAGGGTCGACGATGGTGGTATCTATTTCTACTGCTATCTCTTTTGTCATCCCTTCTCCTTCGGTCATCATGTGATCGATGTCGCTCATCAGATCGATGTCGGCTATCAGAACGATGTCGGTCATCACGTCGACGATGATCATCTCTTCGTTTGTTGCGATCATGTTCAAAGACCAAATCATAATCATCTCCTCTGCGTCTCGCGTCTCCTTCACGGTAGCGTGTTCTCTTTTCAAGCTTGTCGAATCCACCAATAGCCTCACCATTTCCTCGCATACGTCCTGAAATCCAATCACGATGAAGTTTGGAAACCGATTGTGAAAAATCCACGTGAATTCGACGATCATCAATGAGCACAGATTGCATCTTGAAATAAGCCTAAATGACCCACATCCATTAGCAATGGTGTCTCTTATACCCAACCAATCCCGTATTTACCTCTTCGGCATCCTCTTTGTTCTCGTATTCAATAAATGCGTATGAAAGTGAATCACCCGTTTGACGGTCTCGAATAATCTCACAGCTGCTGATACGACCAAATCGAGAAAAGATAAGTTCAAGATCCTCGTCCCGTGTTACTGGATTGAGTTTGCATACAAAGAGCACATTCTCTGGAGGTTTAACTTCCGCAAAAGGGAGATCGCCCACCATCTCAAGTGTTAATGCTTGTGCCTTGGCTTCACGCGCCTTACGTCGTTTCTCGATTTCTTCAGGGTCGCCTTGTTCCTCAATCTCTTCATCCTCAGCAATACGCATCGATTCCAATTGCTCTTTGGTGGGTAATGGCGATTCATCAGGTACTTGTAATCCATCTGGATCATCGAAAGGATCGTCAAGAATGATGGTGTGTCGTATACGAATGTCACGAAAAGGTCGTCCTTGTTCGTCGCAGTAAGCTTCGTTGATCTTGTCCAATACGTCATATCCTTCGGCTACTTCACCAAAGACCGTGTATTTGCCATCCAAATAATCCAAATCGTCTCCCAATGTGACAAAAAACTGGCTGCCACTCACACCTCCACTCTCCAATGATGCATCAGGCGCGACTGCCATGGAGACTGTACCACGACTCTTGTGCTTCAACTTTGGGTTGATCTCGGCTGGGAAATAACGTTGCGAAGGCCCATTCAAGATGCCGTAGATAGATTCACCCTGATCTCCTCGACCTGTTGGATCTCCCGTCTGTGCCATGAAATCCTTTTGTACATTGTGGAAAGGCGAAAAGTTGTAGTACTTGATCTTGCAAAGCTTCAAAAAGTTCAACGTTGTCTTGGGGCATTCCTCTGTAAACAGATCGATGACAATGTCGCCCAGCGACGTCTCCAATAGTACAGACTATAAACAACCCACCATGAGATTAATAAACGTGCTATACGAGGTAGCTTTCACTCACCATTTGGTTCAACAAGCTAAGGTGTAAGTGTGGTGGGGAGGGAAGGAGGAACGAGCCTGTTGCCGCGGGAATCCAAATTGGGATTATAGCATTTTCGATCACGTGACCATGTGCTGGCCATGACATCTTCAGCTGCTTGAAGCACCATGCAACCTATTATCCGGAATACATATGATCATGTGCTGGCAACTCGTATTGTTACTATAATTATTGACCCACTGACATTGCAATCGCTTTAGTTGGCTCATATCGACTCAAATCGAGGAGCTATTTGATATCCAACAAGTGAGATTATGCGTTTCACACATGACAATCATGTCGATCGAATCAATGATACTCACCACCACCACACTTTTTTCGATATCAAAATCGTTTGGATTACTCGAGGAGAGTAGCTTTTCTTCCTTCATACCATTAAAGTTGTTGCTAGATAGAAAAGTGACGCATATTAAAGCATCAATACTATACATTCAAGCCGAGTATCTTATACTAGATCCAATATGGTAGCAGTAATAATATGAATTTTGGGGTGGGATGTTGGCGTGAGAGAGTCGATTATGCTATCTCTAATCTCCGGCCCATCCATGTAACCTTATTGTCATATGCACGTGCAAGAGAAGATCAAGCACAGACTCTCTTTTTTTTGTATGGATTGTCATTAACTATGCATATGCATCGATTATGAATCCACTTTTTCAAGTGATATAATTTAATGGATAGATGAAAAGGAAGATAATACTAGATGCAATGATAGTGATCCAAAGATGTCAGCGACTCGGAACAAGCTACAATCGCCAATTGATTGGTGGGAGTACCCGATACCAGGCCGGGGTGATGAGTGGGTGGGGGGGAGAAGATCTGGGGCTAGCATAGAGTGGTTCCTGCCTTCTTTCTCTTTTCCCTCATTGCAACGTTCCTTGTCAACGTAGTAAGTCATAGAACCCGCTGATCTCGTATGCTCGATAACTGATGAGTGTTTGGTATGCATTGATCCACGCTTCATGAATAGAACATTACCCTCCCCTTTCTTCGCCGCTACTCGATCAGTATTGGACTCAAGCCATGACAACTCCAGCCAAGAAAAGAAGCCTTTCACCCGATCACACTACCAACAGTGAATTGTCTGCCAACAAGCGACCACGCTCGTCGTCCAACGGCGATCTCCTCGCTGAGCTTACAGATGTACTTGCAGAGATCCGGTCAACACCGTCGTCGGGTGAGATCAGTGCCGAGTTACTCGAGAATTTCAAGCTGCTCATGTTACAGATCGAACGCCTATCTGCTGACGAGTCGAATACAGAAGCGGTGCAAATGAAGCATGAGAGTGATAGGTGCTTGGAGACATGGTTTGACGACTTGCTTGCACAATGTGAGGCCGACGGCGAGTTGGATTTGAATACACTTGAAGATGAATTGGCAGCAGCAGGTGATGGCGACAGTGATGACGACGAAGATATTGAAGCTGCATTAAGTTTGGCCCTTGCACTTGAAGAAGAAGACGTACAACAAGATCACCACCACCACCACCACCACCATCATCATCATCATCATCACCAAGAACAAATTGAACAAGAACAAGTGGAAGATGACGATGCAAAAAGCCCTGCTGTCCAGTTGATGGCGTAACAAACAACAACAACACTTGCAGACAGAAGTCCATTGATATCCCTTTTCACCTTGTCTACTCTCTCGCTCTCGCTCTCGCTCTATGAACTCACTCGTGTATATATATTACGTTCTTACCCTCAAATCCCTATCACTCACTTTCTTTTTTATCCTTTCTTTCTCTCCTCTCATTTCGAATACGCCATTCATCATCAACAACGAACGCCATCCTTTATCAAACAATTGTGATATCATGTCGTATTTGTGTCAGCAGCAAGGGTGGTGTATTCTCTATCTTCCTCTCACACTCTCTCCATGAATAAGCCACGACCCAACAGGCACCTCAAACAACCAAGGGCAACCAGCCCGCTCAACGGGGTTTCAGATTGAAAAAAGTGAGACATGTTCATGCAAGCATCGCACACACACACGTTCCGATGAATAGATAGCCCAAAGTCATTACATTGCACACAAAGGAAAAAAGGTAAGATGGTAAAATGGCGAATGAAGATGTTGTAGAGGATTTAAGGGAATGATATCGTTTCTGTTGCCTAGAAACTCTCCAGCGTCATTTGCTTGGCGACATCGGTGTTCTCGACCATAATGACAAACTCGTCAAAGCTTATCTTGCCATCCATGTCCTTGTCAGCCTCCATGATGGTCTTGTCAACGATTTGCTGGAGCTGGTTATCCTTGAGATTGTTACCAACCATCATCTTGAGCACCAAAAACAACTCGCCATTGGAAATATAGCCATCACGATCCATGTCATATACCTTGAATGCAACTAGAGGCAACAGATAACATCATCAGATATACCAAATTGTAGCATAGAATAATAAACCATCCTACATTCAAGCTTCTCTCGTTTGTTTCCTCGTGCACTAAATGCGCTCAATCCCTTGATGAATTCGTGAAAATCAACGTCGCCACCACCATCCTCATCAAAGATAGCAATCATGCGTGACGCTAGTGGGTTGTTGGCAATCTGAGGAATAGATAAAAACTCTTCCTTGTCGATCGATCCAGAGTTATCCTTGTCAAGCTTCATGAACCGTTTATAAAGTCGTTGGATTTCCTCTGCGGAAACTGGTCGTTACCGTAAAAGTGGATATGTTAAAACAACGTCAAAATGCTCGTAATGCGTTGGGGTGGTTTACATACAATTGGACGTGTTGACCATGTCTTCGAGATGCGATCCTGCTTGACCCATGATTGCTTTTTCTTTTGCGGTGATGTGAAAGGGAGAAGAAGCTGCAAAAGTCCGAGCAACCAACTTGCTCAAAACGTCGGAGAAGGCCATGACGACCGTGTCACTCCCCACCAGAGGCTGAGCCTTGCATATCGTTTCCATGGCATCTATAGTTCAATCATCATCCATTTTCGTAGCTTGATATACTTGTCATCAGCGTATTTATAGGAAGAGGAGGAGAATAAATGTTGGTTACTATTACTGCTACGGCTCTTTTTGTGAGTGTGCGTGTCGCTGTGAACCTTACCATTCAGCTTTCTTTGTGATACAACATGGGACAGTTTCCTTTTTGAAATCATCAAGTTGCCATACCGCTACAACAACATAGTAATCGTGAAGAAAAAAGAGTAGCAGCGTAAAAGACTTGCCATGCTCTTTTGATGGACCGTTATACAACCCAATCATTGAATGTGATGATCGTCCGCTTGTTGCTATGCATGTCATTGTATTGTTGGGGTCATTGTTGATGACTTTTTTACAATGACCACGGTGTCGTTTTTTGTATCTACCATAAAAGCATTGTCTTCTCACAAAGATCGCCACACAGCATGATAGCTTTTATGCAGGCAAGCAACACCGCATACATAAAAGGATAAGCTCGACAATGACGCGCTGAGGATGTGTGCAACATACCCCAAGTCTTTGCAACCAAAAGTATGTTGGAGACTCTATCCTCTATACCTGCTCTTACCTTTGTCCGCGGACTCGCACTATGTATGGTAAAATAGTAGATCACACGACAACCACCAGGAAATCTGTCATTGGTCTTCTATGCCACGCGCCTCGGTACCCCAGATGTGACAAGTATCGTACAAGAGTACAACCACCACCACACCACCACCCTCTCTACCCATCACACGTCAACTGATTACCCGATCAAGTTGTTATCATTTTAGTGATTAAGATAGTACAATACACAAAGCCATTGTTTGTATTCTACAAATATCATGACAAGACAAACATCTGCTGTGGCGAATAACAACCATAGAATAATCCCTTTCTTCAGATGATTCACCTGCACCACGCGGATTCCATCATGATGTCATTGCTCAAAAAACACCTTTGTGCTATCAACATCAATCATACGAATATCCCTGTGTTCGTCCTCCACAATATAGATCACCGCACAATATACCTTTGTGTATCCCACTATCGAATCGGCCGCTGATCCGCCATTGGTTGCTCAAAAGGTCCCCGTTCCTTTCTTCATTTCTCTTTGGCAAGGCAAGGTAGGACATGCTTTTGCGTGAGAAGTTGATATACTCTTTATTCTTCAGTAGTAGGTTTCATCCAGAAAGGGGGCGGGTGCATGGCTAGCGTGAGAAAAAAGGAACCGAAAATGCGGGATTATCGGTTTGCAACATCCATTTCTTTTCTCTTCTTTATCCCATCATTACAACAACCATGGCTGATGATAACGAGATTCGTAAGAAAAAAAATGCCATTGACCGGTCTTCCAGCCAACTGATTTACAATAAAACATCCCATCTCATTACAGCTCACCCACCCACCACTGCTTGCTTTGTCGCTGGCCTTGCCGGTGGTAAGATTATAGTAGGCCTTTATTTATCACCTTTATCGGCTCACTGTTTTTTTCTTCTCTTGATTGATATACATCAACAGGATTGGCCGGTCTTGCAGTTGGACATCCATTTGGTATGTTTATAGAATCATAGTGTGGGTGGATGACCATTTAGTATGCTTACAATCTATAGACACTGGTAATGTTACAGGCACCTTGTACGCATGGATCTATGTACCTTACCAATTTAAATGTAGTAAAGGTGCGATTACAGACACCTGCTGCACGCTATAAAGGCACATTGGATTGTGTCATTTCCACAGTGCGTCAAGAAAAGGTAAGTAACACTGCATCAAAGTATACAAATCACTTTGCTCAAACATGCTGTTTATATAATGACATAGATATACGGCCTATATAGAGGCATGGTAAGCGATAAAAACATTGACCTTGAAACTGGTAATCCTAACACAATTTCTTGTTGGGTGCATAGGCGTCACCTGCGGTATGCAAATGACTTTAAAAAGTACTCGCCAATACTTATATGATCCATGATAGGCGGGTGTAGCATTTATCAACGCACTTGTATTTGGAGCTTTCAATCGTATCATGAAGCTGCAAGAGGGGAATGGCTATGCCAACATTATGGTTGCAGGGATGGGTGCTGGTGTTATCACAAGGCAAGTTGATAACGAAAGAAATTTATTCTTTGCATTGAGCTGATCCGCTTGCACAAAAATGGATAGTTTTATCACATGTCCTATGGAGCTTGTCAAGGTGCAATTGCAAAACCAAACGGTTGGACATACAGGCCCTATTGATTGCTTAAAGCGTATCTATACCACTGGTGGTGTCCGAGCTTGTTTTACCGGCATCTTACCAACCGCTATGCGCGAGCTCAGTTTTGGCCCCTATTTTGTCACCTATGAGCTCACTGCTGGTCTGGGACCTATTCTTGGAGGAGGTCTTGCTGGCATAATGGCTTGGATTTCTACTTACCCTGCTGGTATGAGGAAGCTGAAGAAGCTATTTTAGAAAATCCATGGTACTCATCATGTGTCTTTTTTAGACGTAATCAAGACGAGAATTCAAGCAGAGCCTGGGAAATACAAAGGCATGATCGATTGTTTACGGACATGTTACCAAAAAGAAGGGCTCAGTGTGCTCTTTCGTGGTATGGCACCAACCTTGCTTCGGGCATTCCCATGCAATGCCGCAACATTCTTTGCGTATACATGGACCATGCGTCTATTGGTAAACGAGAAAAATGAATACCACGTTGCTGCAACTTATGATGACAAAAACACGGCGGCTCTCTGAGACTAATCTTCTTGCGCATGTTGACTCTTTGCTTTTTCTTCCATCCTCCTTGTACATGTTCAATCTTTCTTTATTTCCTTTGTGCAACCATTATGCACAAGATTGTCCCAATAAATACACTCCATTCTACCGAGACAATGAAATGTAATTAACGATACCGGCATCTTGCTCCTTGTTTTCTTGCTCAGCTTTTCCTTTGATATAATGTATGTTGATTAACGATTCCATGCATTGCCCCTGGATTCCAAATTGCATAAATATGAGATGCTGCATCATCATTCATTGATCCAACAACTTGACCATGCCTTGCTCTCGTCTATCACCCAGCATCCTTTTCATTTTACTTTATCTTTGCGCTTTGACGCTCCACATCCAAGCAGCTGAAGATCTGGCTTGCCCAATTCCTGGAGGAAGAACCAAGTACGTCGCTCCCGACTCCCTTTGTACCAGCTACTACATATGCAACGGAGAAATTGCCTCCAAGATCCCATGCCCAGCTGGTTCCTTGTTTGATAACGACAAAGAAGAATGCATTTTGGCTAGTGATGTAAAGTGCGACGATGTATGATTTATGTATTCAATAAAGAGAGTGTGTGTGTGTGCGTGTGATACTACTGCTACTACTACTACTACTAGAGATGCAAGAGGCTTTTTGATACGTCACAACTGAAAAATTGAGAGTCAGACTCATAAACAATCTTGCGGATATATCCAAGAAGCGTGTTGGCTTTCTACAAGGACACTCCCCACTCTTTTTACACACATCATGTCGGCCCCTACCCAAGACATGCCTCCCTCGGGAGGTTACAGCCAAGTCAGATACCGTCGTTACTTGCCAAAGCGTGGTCCTTCTGGTGCTGTCATCATTGCTGGTGTCGCTGCATTCTGTACATTTGGTTTCTATCGCGTTGCTCAAGGCAATTTGGAAAGAAGGTGCGTCTTTTTACAACCCATCGTCGTCTTTTTGAGCCAATCGACAATAAGCATTCACAATGGCTGACATGTCCTTTATATGAAACAATAGAGAATTGAAGCGTGAAAACTTGTGGTCTCGTATCCACCTTATTCCCTTGTTGACCGCTGAATCCGATCGTGACATGTTTCGTCGTACCGTGGCAGCCAAGGATCGTGAGGCAGAGATCATGAAGGATGTCAAGGACTGGAAGGCTGGTGAATCAGTTTACAACAATACGAAATACTTCACCCCACCTTCGTACGTGATTGTTCCCGAAGACAACTAGATTATCATTCATATTACGAGAAAAAAAAAGTTCAATTACGATCCGACTTTGTCGACTTGAGTACCAGCAATTACAATATGCCTATCTTTTACCAGAATGTGAACATTGCTGTCATTTTCATGTGAATGAGGACGAGGACAATTGGGGTGTTTTTCTTGTGGATACGACCAACAACAGGACGATGCCATTTCTTCATATGCTTTATTCGTGTACGACATGCGTATGTGGAGGTTTTGACTAGTGCTCTGTTTTACGATACGATGCACATGATGTTGTTGGTCTACCGGGAAATTCGAGTGGATGTGATGGAAGTGAGCGTAATGAGTCGTTGCCTAGCAGTGTTAGCTCGCGTCTCCATGGCAATAAACTATTAGCGATCTTTGGCATGTACGGGCTATAGCTATGTCAGCTACAAAGGAGGCCCAAATTTCCCATCAGGCTGAGGTTGCCTCTTGCCTATAAATGATAGGTATACCTACCACAAAGGGTCCATCGATGAACACAACATCCGAAAGTCATTAGGCACCAATAATCAATGAAGTGAGCTACATAAAGGAATGCATGAGTACCCTCGTTTTGGGAATCACATAAAGACTATCCTTGAGACTTACCAAAGGTCATTGGTGATGGTATGCGTACAAGTAGAAAGAAAGGACGTATGATAGGTTTGGTAACAACAGCCTTGTTTGTATATGAGCGGGCGTGAGAATTGTTGTCATGATGGATCGAACTGATAATGTGGTCAAGCATCTTGAGTAACCAGTCGTAGTGATGGAAAATCAACAGCTGATACACAAATCTACCTACGTCTTTAAAGATGATTTTTTGTAGGTGGCATAAGTATGTCCTATCCAAGATTGTTTGACATAGACATGCTATAACACTCATCACCATGTCGTTGAGCAACTCTGTGGTTGATGCAGTTTTACAATGTACCTGGTTACTCTTCATCCAACAAGCACTATATTATCTGCTGAACTTGGATGACGATGAGAGCGAGAAGCTGAACAGCTCCGTGAAACGTGCAAGGTGCAGAGGAGACCGATAAAAGTAGACATAGCTCATGTTGAAGAATCATGGGTTTTTATGCATACACGCGTTTATACATAGGTGGCACTTTAAAGCCTGTAGCTTTCGAAGATATCAATGTCATCGACGCAATCTTACAAAGACTCGCCAAATGAATGGTGCATCTACGCAAAGGATTGGAAACTACAGCAGCTTAGAAATGCAAGCTGAGTCAAAAGTGCATGTATAAGGTACCAAAAGTGCCAGTGATAAAATTGCTATGAGTCTATTGTCAGCGCGCGAGTCAATATGATTCTGAAATAATCTTGCATACTTTGATCCATCAATCAATGCTACTTTTGCATACAATCTTACCGCAGCAACCATGTTGCCATAGCAACCATCATCATCCTGTGCAACCTATCAACATGTGTTACTACAGATCCTAACACATTCATGCACGAACACGCCATCCAACATCAAGAACCACCACCATCTATTTTCGGAACAATGGAAATCTCGGGGTCCTTTCCACACTTTATCCATCCTCAAGCGATCATTCATGCACTTGACGCCTTCCCCAATTCACCCTTAGACATCCTTGAACCAATTGTATCTCTCCACTTTGTACCATTGTTAGATTAGAAACTTCCCCACATTGTTGTATCCCGCACATGATGTGCATCATTTCATCTTTATTTCCTTTTTACTTTTTCATGCAACAGCTACGCCATCATCCTTTGTGCATTACTACGAAAATCACCTGAATGATCAGGCACACGTTGTTTTTATGCGAACGTTCAAAGTATTAGACGTCAAAAGATATATAAACTCTCAAGATGAAATGAATGAATCTTTAGCGAATCGCTCACCTTTTATCTTAACTGAACCCCCGTCTAAAGTCCTCGCAAGCCAAAAGCGCTGCCTAAGGCCCATTTATCATTGAATCTTCATTAACCTCATCAATTTAAACTCTACTTTTGCCTGTCTCGGCCTTATCACCCATTAACTTTGGTGATCCAATCTTCTCAAATCTTAGCCTGTTTCGGCACCCTTTTCAATTACACACTTTTTCAATTACTCCCATCTCTTTGATACTTTTATATAAAGTATCTGGTGCTCACTATTCAATCTCCTTATAACCACGTTGTTCACGTATTGAGATTACCCAATAAACCATGTTCTTATACGTGGTGCTCATTTCAACGGCCACTCACAAAACCCAACTTTCAAATCCCTATACAAAACCTTGCCCTTACACATGCATGAATCTCACAAACCAAGATCAATCAATCTCTATCCCATTCCCATTACCAAAGTAGACCATGTCACCTCCAAAAAACGATAGCTTCGTCATCGTCGTCTTGAACAATAAGAAAAAAACCTCAAAATCGGTCATGTCGGGGTATTATGCGCTGGCGCAGCAATATTCCTTTTGACAACATCAACTTCTTGTACTCAGCATCCGCAGCTCATGCGCAGCAGGCGCAGCAGTACTTCGCCACACCATCATAGATAGCCATCTTATATAAGTATCCCCATTCCACCATATGAATAAACATCATCTCTTTACGTTACAAATACTTCTTTATTATCATACGTCGTTGCTATTGGCTACGGTCACATCCGCCAAAAAGAAAGCTCGACAATTGGTAGCTGATGAAGTTCTTTCCCCTTGCCTGCTGCTTCCTCTTCACCCTCCGTATCAAGTTCTCTCAAGGTCGTTTCTCCAACGCAAGCTGGTTTTTGTGCTCGTTGTGCGGTGTGTTCTTTTGGATCTCTGTTGCTTGTCCTTCCTCTCCTCTTTGTGCAAAATCTACTATCCTTTGGTCTCGTTGCTTGGTCCTCTTTGTTTTCTCGTTTTTGCTTTTGTGCCGTCGTGAGCCCTGGCCGAGTAGCCAATAAGTGCTCTACTTTCGTTCTTGCCCGTGTGCCGTCTTGCTTCGTGATCTGGACGTTAAACCTTCTTCGTGGTCTTGTCTTTTCGTTTTCGTTTTCTTTTGGTGCCCTGCTATCGTTTCTATGGTGATTGTGTACGAGGACGTACAACAGTTTGGAGGGAGGATAATGTCGGATGATATTTTAGATTTGTAATGTTGCACATGCTGCGGTGCTGAGCAGCCTTTATAAAAGGCTGCTGCAACGCCGAGAATAAATCTTTAGCTTTTGATCCGGTGAATCATAGTTCTTGTCTATATTGAGCGGGTAGTTGTAAAGAGGTGTTTACATCCCTGGCTACGGTGCCATACCGCCAGACGACGCAAAAGGTTATACGACAGTCAAAAAAATCGAATCAAGGTCAAAAAACATAAAAAGTTTGAACCCTTTTTCAAAGGAACCTTCAAACATCTTCGCCCAATAGGGGGCTCGAACCCCTGACATTTCGGTTAAAAGCCGAACGCTCTACCGAACTGAGCTAATCGGGCATACACTTCTTTTTACACAATAAACATCATCAACCTGCCAATTTCCTAATAGGGAAGGTAATTGTTTGAAGAAGAAAAAAGTAAGAGGATGTAGCGGAGCCGATGGGGATTGCGATATTGAAAACTGCATCGTGTTTGGGAGGATCATTCTGGAGCAATTTAGAGTAAAAGTATTTTGGAGGAATCATTGAGTCGGAGTAAGTGGCAGATTGCAGGCCACCAGCGGCCTTGTTGTGATTGATTGCTCATATATAGAAAGCCTTGGCGTATTATATGTATATGTGACAAAGGTGTCTCTCCTTTGGAAAGGTTTACTAACAGACAGTAAAGCTTATCAAAGTATCCGATTTATTTGAACAGCGTTCCTAGTTGTAGGCATTCTTTCATTTAAGTATACCCTCTAAACCTTGCTTGTGTATGGTAATAGTGTTTGATGCCAATAGGATGTCGACTTCACAAAACCCACTACGTTTACGCTATTCTATCCATTCCAGGGGAAAAACCATATTCACAGATTTTTATCACATGTACGACCATATCCAACTTGTTCTTCCATCAGAACCCATTCATCCAAGACACTCGGCATGACCAGCTCCTCACGATAATCAAGTTTTATTATCCCTGATATTGTCTACTTGCTGCTTGATCCTTGTTGCGCTCTAGGGCCACCAGTACCATGACTTGCCTCGCCATCAAGATACCACTGGGGAGGGAACGCATTGACATGTCCAGCACATGATACTCGAATCTCGCTCCATTGGGGCATTCCACACGATCGAATATGTAACTCTGGGATCATTTTCTGTCACAACCTTTTCGAGCCAATCCAGAAATTCATTTGCACGCTGAGGTATTCTAAAATGGTTCTTAGCTCATGTACTTGCAATCCCTTATATAAAATCCTTACCCATACCCCTGCACCGTGTCTCATTTTGCGTTGGATTTCCAATGTTTTGAAAGCCTCCAAATGGCTAAATACACCATCGTTGTCTCGAAACCCACAAATCACCTTGGGAACACCAATCAAAAAGGACTGCGCCCAAAACTTGAGAAGCTTAAGACTGAACAAGGATTAAGATGATAGCTTGATGACAGCTGCTCTTTTGCCCTACCGTTCAAAGTTTTCCTTTTGTCGCTGGGTATCCATCCTCCTCGACGTCTTGAGCTCGACGTATTGCCGTAAAAGATTGCCATCCTTTGGTTTCTCGCCTATTAGACATATACCTCAAGTAAGTAACATTGTTATCCACCCATTTAAAATACACGTCTTGCCTTCAATGCAATCCACTTCAGCTCCCATTGCAATTGTGTTTCTGCCAAGCCTCGTTTTCACCGCCACACAGTATTGGACATTGGTATTAGGCACATCATCTGGATCCGGTGTTCCCTTTGGTTCGGTTGCCGTGCACATGGATTCAAAGCTGTATTCCCAATAGGACATCAACCTTTGACGTTCTGACATGGTCTGTTCTTATCGTAGCTTTTGGTCGGTTGCTTGCTCTTCCATAAAGAGGGTATTCTATACATGATGTTAAGTGGTTATGCATATACAATAACGGATAATGGGTGTACCTTGCATCGCGTTGCACGCAGCTTCCAGGGTTCATTGCGAGTGAAAGGAGTACAAAAGATCTTGGTCATGATCCCACGCCATGTGACCTACAAACGAGTATTCGTCAATTGTAGATCTCCTCAAAAAACGATGATCCATACATACACTATCGACATGATCCACATCAGGTGCTCCATTCAAGCGTGCGGTCATCAGTGTATCCAGCAAAGTATCCAAATGCATGCATTGACTTGAGTATTCCAATATCATCCATGGCTGTACAATACCTTTCGTCAAAGGTGCAAACCCTTTACTCAATCCCATCCAATCCATCATCATCCTCAGTCGTATCCAAGTGATATGAATCATTGATCCTGCTGACGACGCGCCAAGTAACCTAAGCAACATTCCTAGACTCCTAATCACTGCACTTGATTGCAACCATCCATCATAGCCCTTGCAAGCCCAATATTGCCAATGGTATGCTTCCATTCCATCCGGCTGTTGGTCAACCCCTTTCTTGGTCATTTCCTATGGTAGCTCAACGAGGTGAAGATTGCTTGTATTGCGGCGTACTTGATACTTGTATCGCATCATCCCCTGGTATTCGTAGTGTCAGAGTAATTTGCTGCACGTAAATGAAGCTGTTGGTGTACCTTGGCTATCTGCTGTTCATGTAAAATAGGCTGCAAGGGATGTTGCTGCAAGCAGCTAAGACAATAGAGCAGCACCTACTGTTACGTTTGGATGTGGCAGAGGAGTATGCAAGAGCGTGTTGTAGTAGTAGAGTGACAAGGTTGCGAACGCTGTTTGAGACGATGGAGTAAAGGTCTTGCTAATAGCGATTGCTGGAAAGAATGCTGTTACGATTGGTCGTGGTAGAGGAGTGTTCAAGAGAAAGTGCAGTGACATGAAACGCGGGTGGTGTTGTAGTGGGGGTACACACGCCATGGACTTGCCATTCAGTCAAAGACAATCGGATCAAGAGAGTTGTAGGATCGGCATCGTGGGTTGAAGTAGAACAATCGTTCGCATGGTGATAGTTGTACTTGAATGGAGCAACAGTTGGGAATGGGAGGAAGAGACGATAAGCTAGGGGTGGAAGACCTGGAAATTAAATGAGTTGAACTGGTGTCGCATGGTATTTATTTGTTTGAGCGGATCTCAGTTAAAACCTTTCCGATCAAGAAAGTTGAATGATGGGCATGCTGGGCTGAAGCAGGACAATCGTTCACATGCATTGGATTGGGCAACAAAGGTGAATGGGAGGGATGGGCTATTAGCCGGCTGTTTACAAATAACTTACCAATTTGATACTTCTGATATTGGATGATGTTTCTGTGTTTGAGCGTTTTTCAGTCAAATCTCATCGGATCAAGAAAGTTGAATGATGGGCATGCTAGGCTGGAGCAGGACAATCGTTCGTATGCATTGGATAGGGCAACAATGGAGAATGGGAGGACTAGGTTATTAGCTGGCATTTTGAACTATTCCTAAATAGTGTACAAGAATCATGCATCGACTGTGCTGAATGACTCAAGTTACACAAACACGCCCTCTGCATCTTTTGCTCTATTATAGTCACACTACTTTACATTAAACAAAGACCACTTCTCATATAGCATCACGCTTACAAACATAAAGGTACCTGTATCTCCGAACTTTACAATGAAACGTGGGGTTTTTATTAGAGCAATGTGCTCGGCTTGGCCAACTGCACCTTGGGTG